GCCGCCGATCGAATTTTGTGCTCACAAACCGATCACGGGAGAATATGCATGTTAGCCGTCCCCTCTCTTTCCTTGTCTAAGGTTGAAATTATAATTTATAATCTATGGTTAATCATTTGACTGGAGCCAATGACTAAAGAATCCAAGGACAAATAACACCGGACAGCAAATTGTGACGCTGGCATCAAACAGTGCCGTGGCACATATTTTTCTTAACCTAGCTGTTTGAAGCAATATTTATATTTTTTGATAATTGTTTTGACTCCGCCTATGGTGTATCATCCTAATTAATTACGAAAAAAACGTATTAAAATGTTAACAAAAGGTACAAAACTAGTATCGACGTATAGCACATATCAAGTACATATAGATGTTAATTGAAGTTGAAGAATAATTATCGAATTCAATAAGAAAACGCTAAAAGGTTGGAGTGTACTGTTATTTACCTGTGAAACGTAACTCCTGGCTCTTTCTTCTCGCTGTGGCTTTTACGCCCAGAAAGCTACACAATTCACCATTGTAACAAAGTTTATACAAAGTTCACTACACACAACAAACTATTAAAAATCGCTAAAATTGTCGCTGGTGACTGGATGATGACTCACTGTTTGGCATCAAACGAATGGCGTCTAACGTCACAAATTCTACTACAGCCCGTACAGGGGCGTTACATGTCCTTATATTCTTTAGTCATTGACTGGAGCAATATTTGAAAAAAGAAAAAATAAGAAACATTTTATATTTCTCTATGATTTTGGGGTTGTAAATTGTAAATACCAGAGAAAAGGTACATTATGTAAAGACTAAGTAGTTTCTATATTACTTATTCCATAGGTATGTACTATGTCATTAAAAATAAATAAATTGGTGATATATTAATTGCTCTGCATTTGGTTCTCTCCAAGATTACTCCTAAAATTTTCAATTCCTCAAGGGCAGAAATTTATAAGTGAACTGAAATTGGTTTATTTATTTTACCTCTATACTGATAATTTCCTTTTAGAAACTATGGATAATATAGATGAAGTTACAGTTTTAAAATGTAAGTATGATCCGTCCAAAGGGTATGATCCTTCTGTTATGTAGAAATTTTGAATCTTATGAATAATCGGTACATTAATTCCCAGTAGCTAAGTGCTAACTAACGTTATTATTATATTTTTGATATAAAAGCTCTGTAATAATGTCCCAGCTATAATGTCAACATATCGGACGATTATGTTGTAATTTTTTAACAAAAACCTTTGTTAGCGCAATAGTTCTTCTCCTTTCTTCTCAAACAGCATAAAGATTTGCATGCTGACTTTCTTTAGTGCAATATTTCTGTGAATTATAGCTGAGTATATTATAGCAGGGATATAAGGGGATGTGAAGTTATATGATTGAAAAATCCTGTTTTATAGAGCTACAAGACTAATATTTAAAGATTGTACTATTAGGGCAAAGGGATTGAAGAAATCATGAAAAAGATCTATAGATGTTCCACATGTAGCTATAAACACAAGAGTCTGTCAATTATAACCGGCATATAATATGTGGAGTTATGTTTGTAAAACCCTGTTTATAGAGTTACAAGCATATACATATAGAACAATATGTATATAGTTACAAGACTAATATTTAAAAAATTGTTCCATTAGCAAGAAGGAATTGAAGGAATCGCAGAAAAAGTCTATACATGTACCACATGTAGCTACAAAAACACTACGTTAAGCAATCTTAACAGGCACCAGAAAAATCACTTGAATCAACGACAGCTGCTTTCTTGTGAGCACTGTGCCAACAAATATAGGACAAAGGAAGGCTTACAAAACCACCTTTACAATAAGCATACTAATTCCAGGTAAATTTATTTTTGTTTAAGATTTATACATAGATCACAATATGTGGAAATAAGGCTATAATATATATAATATCCCAAACCAAACCATTATTTCAGTATATGGGGATCCTGTTAATTTTTGTAAATTTTTTAACAGAAATATTTTGTTAGTTTAACAATCTGTGGTTTATATATGTGGTTTATATAACATAACAGGTTTATATATGTGAGGTTATGTTTGAAAAAGCCTGCTTCATAGAATTATAAGACTGTAATATTTAAATAAAATTTTATTAGGGGGAACGAATTGAAGGAATCGCAGATAAAGGTATATAGATGTTCCACATGTAGCTATCAAACAACAGATAAGTCCAATTTTAACAGCCACAAGAAAATTCACTTGGCACCGGAAGAAAGACAAATGTTTGCTTGTGAGCACTGTGGCAACAAGTATACATCAAAACGAAGCTTGATAAGCCACGTTGATGTAAATCATAGTGATTCCAGGTAAATTTATTTTTGTTTAAGAATTATTATACCTTATGATTCGAAAAAAAACGGTGTCAGCGATGGCTGTGAAAAGAAGATTGCTGTCATTTTATATGTAAATTTATATGGGAAATGTCATCGATCGTCATTTCCTAGCCAACGGGACGCCGTTTTTTTTCGATCATATGCTACAGAAATCATATATATTTTTGTGGATATAAGAATACAAGACTGAAATGTTTAAAAATTGTAGTATTAGGAACTTAGTAGCGAAGGCATTGAAGAAATCGCAGAAAAAGGTCCATAGATGTTCCAAATGTGGCTTCCAAACGCCATATCAGTTCAATCTTGATAGGCACCAGAAAATTCACTTGGCACGGAAAGAACGACAGTTGTTTGCTTGTGCGCACTGCGACAACAAATATACAACAAAAGTATGGTTACAATACCACCTTCAGAATAATCATATGGATCTGAGGTAAATTTATTTTTGTTTAAGAATTATACATAGATCATTACACTTTCGTGTAAAAAGAGTAGAGATTATTAGCAATTCTGTTGTAATTTTTTTAACAAAAATCTTTTGTTAGTTGAACAGTTGTCTGTGTTTTTATATTTAATTATAACAAGGGGTATAAATGTGAACTGAGAAACTTCTAGAATGTTGCCGTTTGCTGTCGCTTTATTTTATGAACGGTTTTAAGAGCGGTGGATAGCAACGCCTAGCTATAGCCAATTTTGCAAGAGCAGCTGTGGATCCATTGGTAAAGTCGTCGCTTCGGGAACGAGAGGTCCCAGGATCGTATCCCAACCCAAACCAAAATTCTTTTTTCTTTATTTTTTTACAGCTGTTTTTATTTTTTTATTTACTTATAGTTGTTGGTAATAGTAATCAATATACGCCTTAGGCGTATTTTAATTGCCTTGGTTAGTCTCTGGGGTAAGTTTTTTTTGTTTAGATTACACGAGAAATACCCGACCGATTATCGTTTATGCTCGTGCAGAACTGCGAAATTAAGGGACAACGAACGGCAACGTTGGGTATGCGAGTTGACTAGTGGGATGTAATAGAATTAATACTTCTAGAAGGCTACAGTTGAGGGTTGGAACCTTTGGTGTTACACAGCAAAATAAAATTGCACTAAAAAACCACAATACACCAAAACACTTTTTACTTTTACACTGGACGCGCGTTTCGCTAACCATGTTAGCATCATCAGCAGATGATTATAAACTAACTAAAGTGACAGTGTAAAAGTAAAAGTGTTTTGGTGTATTGTGGTGATTTAGTGTAATTTTTTTTTCTAGAAGGCTAGTAGAGCGAGAAGTCCCTCAAGAAGAAAGAGGGTAAGTGACAACAGGGTTGGACAGTAACACGCTTGCGCGGGCAGATACATGGTGTTTTATTACATAGAGTTTTCAATGTAACACTGTTGCCAAATGCTGAAAGAGCTTTTATTTTACGTGAATTTTAATTATCCCAAGAAAAATAAATAAATACCGAAAACTAAGCATATTCCTTAAATATTTTTAGTTGATAAGATTTTCTGACAGTTTTTCGCTTGGAACTTTTCAGTAAAACAAAAATTGTGCGTGCATGGACGTTAATAAGGCCAGGTGTTTTTTTACGTGAGGTGGTATTAACTCTCTTCATTTATAGTTATCGGATCGGAAGAATTCTGTTCGCGTCGCGTCGCTATTTAAACTTAACCTAACTTTGAATTTCAAACTTTGACATTGTTTTGTTTACTAGGTATTTTAAAACTAAAAGGGCTAAAGTGCTTATTTCCAGTGCTTTATTGTTCAACGTCTGCCAGTGGGTTTAGGGCAACAAGCAACAAATTCTCTTAGAAGGGCTAAGTCGTCATCTGCTGTAAACCTAAGACTCTTTATAGGTTCTTTAGTATTGGAAGAGGCGGAATCCATATTTTGGGCTATATTTATTTAATTAAAACTAATCCCAACTACTTAAATGTCAAATTACCTAATAAAACTAAAGCAATAATTCAAAACAATTCAAACATAACCTAAAATAAAAGATCTCGCCGGCCAGCTCCGGTTGTCAAATACCCGCACATGCCAATGTAAGCAATTTTTAAACGTTATCAGAGGTTATTTAGAAAGAGCGCTTGTTGTAATTATGGTGTAATTGATCCGCAAATTACGTCAGGCGGTAACGTTATTAGCGGGTGTTGCGTTAAAATTTGACTCGTGCATATCGTAACCATACCATGATAAGGTACGCGTAAATACTGGATGACGCTATTCGGTTTTCCGATATCTCTCTAATAACTGTGCCGGTCAGGCGCTGTGCACAATTTTAGAGGCCATAAGTGGGCGTGTTATGTGCGCAAACTAGTCACCTAACGAGTGCCCGATCCCGAAAATTGGAACCACGAAAAACAATAAAGAAAAAACAAAGATTATAATCTGTATAATCTGTGGTATAGAATTGAATATATGTTTGAAAAAGTATGTTTTATAGAGTTAGAAGACTAATATTTAAAAATTGTACTATTAGGGCGAAGACATTTAAGGAATCGCAGAAAAAGATCTATAGATGTTCCAAATGTGGCTTCCAAACGCCATATCACCCCAGTCTTTATAAGCACAAGAAAATTCACTTGGCACGGGAAGATCGACAGTTGGAGGAATTGCAGAAAAAGGTCTATAAATGTTCCACATGTAGCTATCAAACAACAAGTAAGTCCAATTTTAACAGCCACAAGAAAACTCACTTGGTACCTGAAGAACGACAGATGTTTGTTTGTCTGCATTGCGACAAAACATATACAAGAAAAGGACGCTTACAATGCCACCTTCGGAATAATCATATTGATTTGAGGTATTTTTTTTGTTTAAGAATTATACATAGATCATTACAGTTTCATAAAAAAGAGTAGAGATTATTAGCAATAACCTCCCAGCTATAATGACAACATATGTGGGATTCTGTTGTAAATTTTTTAACAAAAATCTTTGGTTAGTTGAACAGTTGTCTGTGAATCATAGCAGGGATATGTGAAGTTATTATTATAAGTGGAACCAATGGAACCGAGTTTCAATTTGCCAAGAATCGACTCCTACATATTGTTGAACTGTATACAGGGTGGTCCGAACTGTATTCCGGAAAATTCGGCAGCATATTCTGCAGATAAAAATAAGTAAAAAAGTTCGAATAAATGTATGTCCTAAAATGCTTAGTTTCGGAGATACAGGGTGTAGAAGTTTCATTTTTATTTCGATTTTTTCCAAACTAAATTTCTGAAGTAACGGTCGCTGTGACCTGGCCGTCAGTGCGTTTGAGCTCTAAGGTTCATGACTGGTTGCAAAAAAGCAAAACGTTGAGTTGAAAGTCTAAAATGTGGACTTATAACATGCACATAAATTGTAGAAATAAAAATACATACACGCCCTTTCTTATTTGCTTTACATCATTCATAGATAAAATTATATAGGGAAATATTATCGATCGTCACTTCCAGGCCAATTTAACGCCATTTTTTTTTAGATCGCAACGGTATTTTGCTGTTTATTTTTTTTATTATTTTAGAAATTCTGATTGTACATCTGTAACTGATGAAGTGATGTTAGATACTTTAAAAATTGAAATTGAAGATTCGGCTCCACTTACGGATGAGTTTCGGTATGATTTTTTTAAATGTCATTTTTACTAATATAACGATAATAATGTATAGTTTTTTAATTCCAGAAATACTGAATGTCTTTTTGCAACTAATGAAATAAAATCAGAAGATTTTTTAAAATTAGAACCTGATGATGTCGCTCCGATTCAGCATAAAGATTTGCAGGATGACTTCAAGTATGTTTTTTAAATGTATTTTTACTAATGGGATACATATTGTGTTTTAATTATTTTTTATTGTTTCCAGAAATGCCGAAAATTTATCTGTCGCTAAGAAGGTGAAGTTGGAAGATTTTATAAAAATGGAACCTAACGATGACTCCCCGTTTCTAGATGAAGACGCGTTTTTCAAGGACATTCAATTTTTTTAAAAATTTGAAGAAAGGTTGTCGGATTGAACAAATGTAAAACAGAATGGTCGTTTTTTTGCGGTATAAATAAATATTCCTCTGTCTAAAAGAAAGTATATTATTTATTCTGCTGAAATAAAGTTTGAATTATAAATTTTAAGTTTATTAGATTTATCGAGGATTTATCATCAATGATCATCATTTTGTAACGCTTCATTTCAATTTAACCTTACAAAAATATTGATTTAAATTAGTTTCAGGATTTTGCTAATATCTTGGCAACCTTGGAAACACTAGTTCAAAATTTTCTCGCTTTTTCCATAATGCCGCTACAAGCATTATTCTTTTTCGTATTTAAGGTCTTAAAAGAACAGCAACCACAGATTTGGCATAGACTTTCTCTTTTTTCCTCCTAGATCGCCTAAACTCAGATAGGTTAGTGCGTAGAAAAAAATGATCAAAAGGAGAAAGTTGAAATCTTAGACAAGGAAAGAGAGGGGTACAGGTAACACAAAGGGTAACACGGTAGCTGAAAGTGAGGCAAGTTGTCACCACACGAAATTCTCCAATGGCGTAGCATCAGAAATTAGCTTGTACCTGGACGGTACAAAATATTTATTAAAACGTTAACTAATATATCGTTCATTTTTGAGTAATGCATATACAATTTTGTATTTTATAGTCTCACCTTTATAATATTAGAATATCTAAGTCGATAATGCAAAATTTATTTAACAGTCACAGTGGACTGATTATCCAGACAATTATTTATTTCTTAACGTCTGTATAATGATTAATTAAATAAAAAATAATGTAATAACATATGTTTTAAACGTGTATAGACATATATACTGTATGATCGAAAAAAACGGCGTCTTGTTTGTTTGGAAATGACAATTTCACAAATGAATATTAAAAATTACATTATTCAGTGAATCCGTAAGTAAGTGTGAAGGGAACTGACTAGATTCATTATTATACCGTATAATAAAAAAAAAACGACGTCCAGTTGGCTTGTAAATTACGATCGATGATATTCCCCATATAAAATGACATAAAAACTATACAAAACGACATCGAAAAAAGACGGCGTCAGCGATAGCTATGAAATGAACATCGCTGTCATTTTATATGTAAAATTATATGGGGAATGTCGTCGATCGTCATTTACAAGCCAACTGATTCGTTTTTTCGACCATACGGTATAATAATGAATCTAGCCATTCCCTTCACACTTGCGTACAGATTCAATGAATAATGTAATTTTTAATATTTGTTACCTTCAATCATAAGAATATCCTAATTTTCCACCAAAAAATAAACAATTCTAGAAGCTTTGTGTTATTTTATTTATTTTGAAATTTTTATTAATTACTCACTGAAACTATTATTATACACCTAAATTAGCAAATTTTTGAACGAATATTTAAAAAAATATATGTAGTAACAAGTAGCCTACCACAGGTTTATCCACACCCAGCAAATCTTGGCAGGTAAATTTAAGTTTTATATAACAACTATACATATAGATATTTTATCACTAGAATTTTTATTTTTTTTATAGTTTACAATTATTTTACATATTTGATAACAATACTTTATACATTTTTTTACATGTAAAATATATAAAAAATGTTTATTGCAGAAATTGTATTTCTCTGATTATAATTCCCTACGCCACTGGAGAAATCCATGCTGAGTAGCATTATTTATAGTTTCAAACATTAATTATAATACTGGATATTGAAAATACTACTTGGAATTATTAAAAATAGTTTGGTTTGGATATGGTACAAAACATATTAAAACCATTTTACATATTTTTACTGCTATAATGAAAAAATGTACATTTTATGACTACATAACAAAAGTTGTGTATCGATTTTTACCTGTGTAATGTAATTCCAGCCACTTTTTTCTCGCTTCGGCCTTTGCAGCCATACGCTGAACATCTCACCATACTAAACAATACAGTTTATAAATTTAAAACAAAACAGTTGCCACAAAAAACATAAAAATTCGCTCGGTGTTACTTCGAAATCAAGGTTCGAAATCTTGTCACCAAAGTATGGCCGCCGATCGAATTTTGTGCTCACAAACCGATCACGGGAGAATATGCGTGTTAGCCGTCCCCTCTCTTTCCTGTCTAAGGTTGAAATTATAATTTATAATCTATGGTTAATCATTTGACTATGCATTTGACTGGAGCAATATTTGAAAAAAGTAAAAAATAAGAAACATTTTATATTTTATATTTCTCTATGATTTTGGGGTTGTAAATTGTAAATACCAGAGAAAAGGTACATTATGTAAAGACTAAGTATTTTCTATATTACTTATTCCATAGGTATGTACTATGTCATTAAAAATAAATAAATTGGTGATATATTAATTGCTCTGCATTTGGTTCTCTCCAAGATTACTCCTAAAATTTTCAATTCCTCAAGGGCGAAATTTATAAGTGAACTGAAATTGGTTTATTTATTTTACCTCTATACTGATATTTCCTTTTAGAAACTATGGATAATATAGATGAAGTTACAGTTTTAAAAATGTAAGTATGATCCGTCAAGGGTATGATCCTTCTGTTATGTAGAAATTTTGAATCTTATGAATAATCGGTACATTAATTCCCAGTAGCTAAGTGCTAACTAAGGTTATTATTATATTTTGATATAAAGCTCTGTAATAATGTCCCAGCTATAATGTCAACATATCGATGATTATGTTGTAATTTTTTTAACAAAAACCTTTTGTTAGCGCAATAGTTCTTCTCCTTTCTTCTCAAACAGCATAAAGATTTGCATGCTGACTTGCTCTTTAGCGCAATATTTCTGTGAATTATAGCTGAGTATATTATAGCAGGGATATAAGGGGATGTGAAGTTATATGATTGAAAAATCCTGTTTTATAGAGCTACAAGACTAATATTTAAAGATTGTACTATTAGGGCAAAGGGATTGAAGAAATCGCAGAAAAAGATCTATAGATGTTCGACATGTAGCTATAAAACACAAGAGTGTGTCAATTATAACCGGCAAATAATATGTGGAGTTATGTTTGTAAAACCCTGTTTTATAGAGTTACAAGCATATACATATAGAACAATATGTATATAGTTACAAGACTAATATTTAAAAATTGTTCCATTAGCGAGAAGGAATTGAAGGAATCGCAGGAAAAAGTCTATACATGTACCACATGTAGCTACAAAACACTACGTAAGTGCAATCTTAACAGGCACCAGAAAAATCACTTGAATCAACGACAGCTGCTTTCTTGTGAGCACTGTGCCAACAAATATAGGACAAAGGAAGGCTTACAAAACCACCTTTACAATAAGCATACTAATTCCAGGTAAATTTATTTTTGTTTAAGATTTATACATAGATCATTATATGTGGAAATAAGGCTATAATATATATAATATCCCAAACCAAACCATTATTTCAGTATATGGGGATCCTGTTAATTTTTGTAAATTTTTTAACAGAAATATTTTGTTAGTTTAACAGTCATCTGTGTATTATAACAGGTTTATATATGTGAGGTTATATGTTTGAAAAAGCCTGCTTCATAGAATTATAAGACTGTAATATTTAAATAAAATTTTATTAGGGGGAACGAATTGAAGGAATCACAGATAAAGGTATATAGATGTTCCATATGTGTTTATCAAACGCCAGTAAAGTACTCTCTTTTCAATCACAAGAAAATTCACTTGGCACCGGAAGAAAGACAAATGTTTGCTTGTGAGCACTGTGGCAACAAGTATACATCAAAACGAAGCTTGATAAGCCACGTTGATATAAATCATAGTGATTCCAGGTAAATTTATTTTTGTTTAAGAATTATTATACCTTATGATTCGAAAAAAAAAACGGTGTCAGCGATGGCTATGAAAAGAAGATCGCTGTCATTTTATATGTAAATTTATATGGGAAATGTCATCGATCGTCATTTCCTAGCCAACGGGACGCCGTTTTTTTTCGATCATATGCTACAGAAATCATATATATTTTTGTGGATATAAGAATACAAGACTGAAATGTTTAAAAATTGTAGTATTAGGGCGAAGGCATTGAAGAAATCGCAAAAAAAGGTCCATAGATGTTCCAAATGTGGCTTCCAAACGCCATATCAGTTCAGTCTTCATAGGCATCAGAAAATTCACTTGGCACGGAAAGAACGACAGTTGTTTGCTTGTGCGCACTGCGACAACAAATATACAACAAAACTATGGTTACAATGCCACCTTCAGAATAATCATATGGATCTGAGGTAAATTTATTTTTGTTTAAGAATTATACATAGATCATTACACTTTCGTGTAAAAAGAGTAGAGATTATTAGCAATTCTTTTCAAAATTTTTTTAACAAAAATCTTTTGTTAGTTGAACAGTTGTCTGTGTTTTTATATTTAATTATAACAAGGGGTATAAATGTGAACTGAGAAACTTCTACAATGTTGCCGTTTGCTGTCGCTTTATTTTATGAACGGTTTTAAGAGCGGTGGATAGCAACGCCTAGCTCTAGCCAATTTTGCAAGAGCAGCTGTGGATCCATTGGTAAAGTCGTCGCTTCGGGAACGAGAGGTCCCAGGATCGTATCCCAACCCAAACCAAAATTTTTTTATTTTTTTACAGCTGTTTTTATTTTTTTATTTACTTATAGTTGTTGGTAATAGTAATCAATATACGCCTTAGGCGTATTTTAATTGCCTTGGTTAGTCTCTGGGGTAAGTTTTTTTTGTTTAGATTACACGAGAAATACCCGACCGATTATCGTTTATGCTCGTGCAGAACTGCGAAATTAAGGGACAACGAACGGCAACGTTGGGTATGCGAGTTGACTAGTGGGACGTAATAGAATTAATACTTCTAAAAGGCTAGTAGAGCGAGAAGTCCCTCAAGAAGAAAGAGGGTAAGTGACAACAGGGTTGGACAGTAACACGCTTGCGCGGGCAGATACATGGTGTTTTATTACATAGAGTTTTCAATGTAACACTGTTGCCAAATGCTGAAAGAGCTTTTATTTTACGTGAATTTTAATTATCCCAAGAAAAATAAATAAATACCGAAACTAAGCATATTCCTTAAATATTTTTAGTTGATAAGATTTTCTGACAGTTTTCGCTTGGAACTTTTCAGTAAAACAAAAATTGTGCGTGCATGGACGTTAATAAGGCCAGGTGTTTTTTTTTACGTGAGGTGGTATTAACTCTCTTCATTTATAGTTATCGGATCGGAAAGAATTCTGTTCGCGTCGCGTCGCTATTTAAACTTAACCTAACTTTGAATTTCAAACTTTGACATTGTTTTGTTTACTAGGTATTTTAAAACTAAAGGGCTAAAGTGCTTATTTCCAGTGCTTTATTGTTCAACGTCTGCCAGTGGGTTTAGGGCAACAAGCAACAAATTCTCTTAGAAGGGCTAAGTCGTCATCTGCTGTAAACCTAAGACTCTTTATAGGTTCTTTAGTATTGGAAGAGGCGGAATCCATATTTTGGGCTATATTTATTTAATTAAACTAATCCCAACTACTTAAATGTCAAATTACCTAATAAAACTAAAGCAATAATTCAAAACAATTCAAACATAACCTAAAATAAAAGATCTCGCCGGCCAGCTCCGGTTGTCAAATACCCGCACATGCCAATGTAAGCAATTTTTAAACGTTATCAGAGGTTATTTAGAAAGAGCGCTTGTTGTAATTATGGTGTAATTGATCCGCAAATTACGTCAGGCGGTAACGTTATTAGCGGGTGTTGCGTTAAAATTTGACTCGTGCATATCGTAACCATACCATGATAAGGTACGCGTAAATACTGGATGACGCTATTCGGTTTTCCGATATCTCTCTAATAACTGTGCCGGTCAGGCGCTGTGCACAATTTTAGAGGCCATAAGTGGGCGTGTTATGTGCGCAAACTAGTCACCTAACGAGTGCCCGATCCCGAAAATTGGAACCACGAAAAACAATAAAGAAAAAACAAAGATTATAATCTGTATAATCTGTGGTATAGAATTGAATATATGTTTGAAAAAGTATGTTTTATAGAGTTAGAAGACTAATATTTAAAAATTGTACTATTAGGGCGAAGACATTTAAGGAATCGCAGAAAAAGATCTATAGATGTTCCAAATGTGGCTTCCAAACCCATATCACCCCAGTTTTATAAGCACAAAGAAAATTCACTTGGCACGGGAAGAACGACAGTTGGAGGAATTGCAGAAAGAGGTCTATAGATGTTCCACATGTAGCTATCAAACAACATATAAGTCCAATTTTAACAGCCACAAGAAAACTCACTTGGCACCTGAAGAACGACAGATGTTTGCTTGTCTGCATTGCGACAAAACATATACAAGAAAAGGACGCTTACAATGCCACCTTCGGAATAATCATATTGATTTGAGGTATTTTTTTTTGTTTAAGAATTATACATAGATCATTACAGTTTCATAAAAAGAGTAGAGATTATTAGCAATAACCTCCCAGCTATAATGACTAATGAAATGTTCCACATGTAGCTATCAAACAACAAGTAAGTCCAATTTTAACAGCCACAAGAAAACTCACTTGGTACCTGAAGAACGACAGATGTTTGCTTGTCTGCATTGCGACAAAACATATACAAGAAAAGGCCGCTTACAATGCCACCTTCGGAATAATCATATTGATTTGAGGTATTTTTTTGTTTAAGAATTATACATAGATCATTACAGTTTCATAAAAAAGAGTAGAGATTATTAGCAATAACCTCCCAGCTATAATGACAACATATGTGGGATTCTGTTGTAAATTTTTTAACAAAAATCTTTGGTTAGTTGAACAGTTGTCTGCGAATCATAGCAGGGATATGTGAAGTTATTATTATAAGTGGAACCAATGGACACAGAGTTTTAATTTGCCAAGAATCGACTCCTACATGTTGAACTGTATACAGGGTGGTCCGAACTGTATTCCTGAAAATTCGGCAGCATATTCTGCAGATAAAAATAAGTAAAAAAGTTCGAATAAATGTATGTCCTAAAATGCTTAGTTTCGGAGATACAGGGTGTAGAAGTTTCATTTTTATTTCGATTTTTTCCAAATAATTTCTGAAGTAACGGTCGCTGTGACCTGGCCGTCAGTGCGTTTGAGCTCTAAAGTTCATGACTGGTTGCAAAAAAGCAAAACGTTGAGTTGAAAGTCCAAAATGTGGGCTTATAACATGCACATAAATTGTAGCAATAAAAATACATCTTTCTTATTTGCTTTACATCATTTATAGATAAAATTATATAGGGAAATATTATCGATCGTCACTTCCAGGCCAATTTAACGCCATTTTTTTTTAGATCGCACGGTATTTTGCTGTTTATTTTTTTTTATTATTTTAGAAATCCTGATTGTACATCTGTAACTGATGAAGTGATGTTAGATACTTTAAAAATTGAAATTGAAGATTCGGCTCCACTTACGGATGAGTTTCGGTATGATTTTTTTAAATGTCATTTTTACTAATATAGCGATAATAATGTATAGTTTTTTAATTCCAGAAATAATGAATGTCTTTTTGCAACTAATGAAATAAAATCAGAAGATCTTTTAAAATTAAAACCTGATGATGTCGCTCCGATTCAGCATAAAGATTTGCAAGATGACTTTAAGTATGTTTTTTAAATGTATTTTTACTAATGGGCTACATTTGGTGTTTTAAATATTTTTTATTGTTACCAGAAATGGCGAAAATTTATCTGTCGCTAAGAGGGTGAAGTTGGAAGATTTTATAAAAATGGAACCTGACGATAACTCCCCGTTTCTAGATGAAGACGCGTTTTTCAAGGAAGAAGAAAACATTCATAATCTTCAAATTTTTTAAAAATTTGAAGATTTTTGAAGTTGTCAGATTGAACAAATGTAAAACAGAATGGTCGTTTTTTGCGGTAAAAATAAATATTCCTGTGTATAAAAGAAAAAAAAATATATTATTTATTCGGCTGAAACAAAGTTTGTATTATTGTTTTATTAGATTTATTATTATTTTATGACGCTTCACTTCATTTGCTAGATTCACAAAAATCTTGATTTAGATTAGTTTCAAGATTTCGCTAATATCTTGGCAACCCTGGAAACCTTTTAGTTCAAAATGTTCTCATTTTTTCATAATGGCGCTCCATGCATTCTTCGTCTTTTTCGTATTTCAAGCCTTAAAAGAACAGTAACCACAGATTTTAAGTAACGTTCTTCTTCTTTTTAATATGTATGGCTCGACACAATGCGTAACTACAGATTTAGTTGGCCTTGTGGTCGAAATGATTGCGCCGCATTCTAGTAGACGCAAGGTCGCCGGTTCGATTCCGGCCTGGACATGGGTGTTAAATGTGTGTGTGAGTCTGTATTTGTCCGATTTTAAACGCTAATTAATTATTAAGAAATAAGCTGGCTGAATGTCCTAATAGACAAGTGGCCAAAAATAGGAAAAAAAAAACTACAGATTTCACTTATATTTTCTCTTCTTTCCTCAATTAAAGTTTTCTTGTAAACATTAAATAATCGATATGATTTTGAAATATCAATATGCGCTACTCAACATTATGCTGTATTATTAATAGGGTAGGCAACTAATAATACAATAACTAGAAATCCGGAAGACATCTCTTTTTTTTGCTACTCTGAGCAACGGAATTTCCTGTCAAATATGACACGTGTCAATTTTTCTATGTTATCTGTGGTGTCAATCTTGATTTTTGATATGATCTGGATTTGATGCATATTTGATGTGCTTTAAAATGTGTTTAAAATGTTTATTGATTCTTATTTTACTTGATATAAACAGATATAAATGTTAACTTGGACTACCAACTGGAGTTCTTACTGATTGTGTGGTAATAATGCTAGTTAGAATCCAGCAACAAAACTAGTTAGGTTGTACTGGATTGCATTAATTCTTGTCTGCAACTGTGGATTTTTGTATTATCCCAGATAACACAATTCCTTCCTATATTAAATTGATGCCCATTACACCCTTGATTATGATGCTTACACATACCGAATATACTTTACAACTGAGAATTATAACTGAAAAGCAACTGGTTTAATATCTCTATAGATACTGTTATTTTTTATTGGAAACTATGGACGATATAGATGAAGTGATAGAATTAAAACCGTGAGCATTAATAGAGAAATTTTGATTTGTGCTTTTGATTAAGATATTCTTTTTAGTGAAGATATTGATTTGTATTCTACAGACAAACCGGATTTGATAGATATCACTTCATTAAAAGTGGAAGAAAATTTAGATCTTGCAGAGTCAACTATAGATAAACTTTCAGCAATTTCAGGGTATTGTATTCTCATATATTTTTTTCAAATACATATTACAGATAGTCTTTGGTATTAAATATTACATGCATTGAAACTTTTATTTATTTAGTTATTTTCACTTCGTTAACTTTTATTCGTAAAAAGTAGTAGGACAGCAGAAAACTTACATAAGATTCAATAAGTAACATGTAACATAACATTGAATGTAAGATTAATTATTATTTATGATAAAGATTTGCTAAAACACCAGCCTACCTGTGTTTTGTAGGAGTATAAATAAATAATAACATATCTATTAAACTGTAATTGCTAAAAGGAAGTATACATACAGTGTGTGTACACATTGTGAAATTTAATATGTTACAGCACAACAGATACTGCTTTGAACATTAAACCAATTAGTGTAGAGCATATTAAAGAAGAAAATAATATTACTGACTTAGTAAGTTTGGATATTGTTAAACAAGAAAATAATGTTCCAGAACTTCCAGAAGAGAATATAAATGTAAGGTCATCACATATTAATCTAAAACTGTAAGTGTGTTCTTTTTAAATACTTATATTTTATTTATTTATTATATTTAATGAAATCTTTTTATAATTATAAACTTAAGTTCATTACATTGTAACAGATCTAAGGAAGCTTCGAACGAAAAATTAATAGACATAGTAGACATCAAAGAAGAAAATGATAATAGCGATAAAAATCTAAATAGTACAGAAAAAATAGTAAACCTGTAAGTATATTTAATTACCTACCATTTATTTGTATTATGGTTGGTTCATACTTCGAGTTTTAGTCCTAACCTTGAAGGTCCTAACATTACCCTTAACCTTATTCCTAGGAAAGGAACGTTAAGAACTTTAAGAAATGCCGTTCGTACTTCTCCTACTTGTGTTAAGAATATTAATAAAAAATAATATAAAGAATATTAGTTAAAAATAACATTCACTTGCTTGTGAATAAACCTTAAATCATTTCTAAACCAGAAAAATAGATAATTATTAACATTTGTATACTGTCAAATTCGACATGTCGGATATTCTGTCATAATTTTCTAAAAGCTTAGTTTTGCGCATTCGCAAATTAATGTTGTATTATAATAAGGCTGTAATAATCTCCCAGCCTGTGTCCCAGCTATAATGTCAACATATCAATGATTATGTTGTATTTTTTTTTTTAACAAAAACCTTTTGTTGCTGCTACAGTTGCTTGTGAATTACAGCAGGGATATATGTGAGGTTATATGTTTGAAAAACCCTATTTTATAGAGCTAAAAGAGTAACATTTTAAAAATTGTACCATTAGGGCAAAGGAATTGAAGGAATCGCAGAAAGAGATCTATAGATGTTCGACATGTAGCTATAAAACGCCACATAAGTACAGTCTTAAGAAACACCAGAAAATTCACTTGGCACAAGAAGAACGACAGTTGTTTGCTTGTCCTCACTGTGACAACATATATACGAGTAAACATGGCTTACAATACCACCTTGCGCATAATCATATCGATTCCAGGTAAACTAATTTTTGTTTAAGAATTATTTTGTGGATATACAACTACTAAGTTTTAAGTGATTTGGTTGTAAGGTTTTTAACAAAAGATATTTGTTAGAATTTATATATTGAAACTTTTTTTTATTTTCAAGATCGGATATTTTATACTATGTTTACATAAGAAAAATTCGTTAAGGTTGTTATTTCCATTCAAAAATTGTAAACAATCCATCCAGTTACTTTTAGAGCATAGTAATTTTCAGCAATCGTGTAATTTTTTATTGATAAAGATTTTCACATACTGTCTACAAAGAAAATACAGCAGAGATATTAACAAAGTTCTTGAAAAAAACTACAATTTATTATTTCTAATAGATTTCGAGATATCGATTTTTGAATTCAGAGTTCTAATAGCGCGCAATTCCACTTATTTTTACCAAAAATGCAAGTGTTTCTAGCTTGCACTTAAAAAAATTCAAGCTATAGGGAAAATTACAACGACTCGTTAATAAATAAACAAATTTCGCAGACGCAATTAAATCTGACAGAGGTATTGATTGGGTCGACTGGTCAACTGTGATAAATCTGCTATATCCCCTTCCACGACTCTTAGCGATGTGCGCACTTTCTCGGTTTATTTCATACGTTTGGCAACGTGTTTACTGTCCTCTCTTTGTTCAGTACATTATAAACGCATTATACTCTTCTTACATACGGAAATCTCGACCCAGGACTAACCTTTGCCAGCCCTTAGTATGTGAGGTTGTATGTTTGAAAAACCTACATAGAGTTACAAGACTCAGACTAATATTTTAAAATTGTACTCTTAACTCCTAGGGCGAAGGCATTGAAGAAATCGCAGAAAAAGGTCTCTAGATGTAGATGTTCCATATGTAGCCGTAAAACTCCACATAATGTCACTTTTAACAAGCACAAGCAAATTGACTTGCCACCGGAAGAACGACAGTTGGAGGAATTGCAGAAAAAAGTCCATAGATGTTCCATGTGTAGCTATAAAACGCCACATAATTTCCATCTTAACGAGCACAAGAAAATTCACTTGCCACCGGAAGAACGACGGTTGTTTGGTTGTGCGCACTGCGATAAGAAATATATGAGTAAAAGAACCTTACAAGTTCACCTTCATATTGATCATACTGATTCCAGGTAAATTTATTCTTTATTTAAGAATGAGACATAGATCATTATACTTACATAAAGAAAAACAATAATTTTATTTATTTTTGTTATAATCATTATTCTCAATTGGACTAATTGACTCGGAAATAAAGACATTGTTCTATTAGGGCGAAGGGCCTGAAGGAATCGCAGAAAAAGATCTATAGATGTTCCATATGTAGCTACCAAACGCCTTATAAGTCCTATCTTAACGCACACAATAATATTCACTTGCCACCGGAAGAACGACAGTTGAAGGTCTATAGATGTTCCATGTGTAGCTATAAAACGCCACATAATTTCCGTCTTAACGAGCACAATAAAATTCACTTGGCACCTGAAGAACGACGGATGTTTGCTTGTCCGCATTGCGACAAAACGTATACAAGAAAACAACGCTTACGAGACCACCTTGAGAATCATCATATTGATTTGAGGTAAATCTATTTTTGTTTAAGAATTATTTCGTGGATATTATTGATTATAACCTTCCAGGTATATTGCTTCTTATTTGTTGCTATATAGCATGATTTTTGCTTGTCAAGATTGTGACTAAAAGTCTCCGAATGATTGAAAGTCTAAAGCTGCGTCCAAGCTACTCGAACAAAATGTTCGCGAACATATATAATTAAACGTATACTAGATGAAGATTGTGAGATAGGTAGATTTATAAATAATAAAGCCAACAAGTACAGCTAGCCTAGGCCCATTAAGGAGCGCGGAGCGCCGAACGGCTAGCTTGTACGCCAGAGCGTGCGTCTGCCTATGCTAGAGGGCGCGCGTTCTTTTTCCGACGGGTGTCGGTAAATCAAAAGGAGCGAACGGCGGACATTGTACCGGACACTTGGAAGGGTCTCATTTAATTTCAGGCGTCCATCTGTGATTTTTATTTTTTACCGAGTATTCGACATTGGGAGACGCAGTTATTGACTGGAATCGTGAAAAACATTTACAACTAATTTGTTTACACAAAGAAAATATTTTATAATTTTAATTTTATTTAGCTAGACTTCGTCCATATAATTTCATTTTTGTTAATAAAGACCTTTATGATTATTTTTATTAAAAACCAGAATTATTACGGGATTCTGGAATTAAAAATTACTACTTAATAGGAAGCTTGACACCGGAAATGAAATTTTACCATTACATTTTTAGAAATAAATATACCGGGTGTTTCTGAAAAGTGGTTCACTTCTATAACTTTTTTAATTTTTTAGATAAAAAACGAGATTTGGTATGTTAGTATAGGACATAAATCAGGATTAATCGACGTTTTCATTTATTTTCGGTCACTACCTATTTCACCGGAAATGACAACAACTTTTGATTTAAATGGTACCCTCGGTATTTTTTTACCGTATATGATATAAAATGACATTCTAAATAGAATGATATATTATATGTCAACTTTTGACATTTTCAATTTAAAAATGGCCATAAATAAACGTAACGACAATTTTACTCCAGATACCAAGTATGTGGTACCAAATTATTCGTAAAAAATGCTTTTTCCAAATATGCTGAGCCAGCCTCGTACCATTTGAAAAATTTTAGTTATCATTAAAAATACGATTTGGGCATCTTTTAAGCGGCCATGAAAGGATACGAAAAAAATTACATGATCAAATATATGTTTCCAAAGTTCTTTGATTACAAATTAATAGTTTTAACTCAGTCTTGGCACTGTAGATTGAAATTTAAAATGCTATTTTTATTTAATTGGAATTGTCTAAAATTGACGTGTGGTAAAGTCATTCTATTCAGAATGTCATTTTCTATCAAATAAAGTAAAAAAGTACTTAGGATACAATCTAAAAATACAAAGTTGTAGTCATTTCCAGTGAAACAGGAAGCGACCGAAGGTAATTGAATACGTCAATCAATCCCGATTTGATTTGAGAAACCTGGTAGAATCGGCTGAAAATGAATACAGGTCTTAAAAATACACTATAACGAATAATCTACCAAAAGACACCTGTAACCCTCCGCCTGCTAAATATTGATGCTTCAACGACAAAAGTTCTTAAACTGTTTACCGGTTAATTTATTTAATAAAATGCTTGCACTCGAAATCCGCGCACTCGAAAAAACAGCGACTACCTAAACGCATCCTAGATCTATAGAGCAAACTGGTTGTCGCATTCTTCCCCGCACCTCAGTCCTCGGGACCGATGCGATAGGCTGTGCCGTCGTTTACGACCTGCTGCTACGAGTATATGGTGTGAATTATATAGGCTGTCCAACGAGAAGATCCTTGACAGTGATAGATGTGTCTGTCATTTTAATTTCAATGTAGTTAATTTTATTTTACAAAGAAATAAGTTGGTACAACTGGAACGCATAGCAGGAAATTAATATATGTATTTAAAATTTTACTGACAAGTAACTTCAAAATATTGTGAAAAAAACTGTATAAAACTGAAAAAATGTTATCGAGTTATTTTATTTAATAAAAAACGGTATGTGTTAATACAAAACAAACAAAAACAAGACACCACATACCAAAAAATATAAAAAAGAACTATTTCTTACTTTTACGCTTTATGAAACTTCCCGCATTTATGATTATATTTATCAATATAACTTATGTACAAATACAAATTTGTAATATTCCGCAGGAATAAATAAAACAACATAAATAAAACAAACTACTTTATTAATAATAACACTTACCAAATTTTATACCTCCCAGGTTGATTAATTAACATTAATCTTAATTTTTTTTTAACCAGTACCTTTTGACATTTTTCTGCAGTACTAAAATCCATTATTTACCTATCGTGTTATGTCGATATTTTACAGCTACTCCAGTTTTTAGTATGTGTTTAGTATGGTCTTTCTACCATATTCGAGATGCACTTATCTACGACGAGATGGTATACGAACTTTATTGATAGTAACTTTATTGGTGTATCTGTATAAGACTTTCTGCCTGGGCAGCGAGTATTAACCATAAACTGTGCTCTGGGTTCTACAGTTAATTTTCACTCGATTTTTCCTCCACTTGACTTCAAAAGACACAAAACACACGTAATAACACGAATCAAAATGCATCATCTTCCAAAACGCAGGGTATTTGACAAAAGTTGTCACAAAATTATAACCTATAATTTGGCAAGACTTTGACAAACGTCAAAAATCTAAAGGCGAGTTCATACGCATCGGCGTCCGTTTGTCACCAATAAAATTGAAATACGATCTGTCATTTTTGAAATAAACCAATAAAACTGGTTAAAAACAACAAGTGACGACGCATGACGAATTTATATTTAAACCCATCCATAGTTAACTTAAAAATTATTAGAAACTTTTTTTAGTAAAATAAATAGATTGGTATGGGACGTCATCTGCTTTTCTTCTGTCATCGTCTGTCGAAATCTTACCTGAGAAAAAAAACAGAGTATATATGTCATAGCCTAATGTCACGTACTAGAGATAGATTGGACACTGATATAAAACAAATGGGTCCGTCATTTAGAGCCACCTGGTGATCCGGAAGAAACTAATGGAGAGTTTTGGCATAACATAATTTTAGCGTTCCGTTACTTATTAACGCTAATTAAAACGGTAACGTTATTCAAGCGCAAAATTATTCCTTGTAAAATATAAAATAATAAATATAGACTTTTTTACAGCATTTTATGTTTTATTAGATTATTAGAAGTGTAACATAATTACAACAAAATTAAAATTATAAATACATACATTTTAAACACCAGCAATAGATCACATAGCGCCTATTTTTTTGATTTAACAACTAAATTATAATATAGTAAAAATATTATAGACTACTAATTAACTGTTACTAAAATACTATATATTACCAACTATGTACTTACTTATTTATGTTTAAACTATTTTTTTATTTGGTTTATAAATTATTATTTCTAAAATGTCAAAATGACTTTAATAAAAAAGTTTAGTATCTAACACGAAAATGATGATCGATTGTAAGTATCAGAATGCACAAACTAATAAAAACACAAACTATAAACACAAATCACTGAACTTTCCGACAAATCAGGAATATCTGGGAATATCTGAATTAATAATTATTTCAATAATGATATAAAAATAACTTGACGGATCACCAACATTTTGTCAACTAGAAAAAAACTAGACCATAGACAGTAGTTAACATAGAGCCTGTCATGTCATCTTCATAATATAAATTAGAAACCTGTACTTTAATGTCTTTTGCGCCGTCTGGCGATGCGGAAGAAACTAAATTTGTAGTTCTATAAAATTACCATTGAGTGTCTAGGGCATGATATATGTTCGCGAACGTTTTGTTCGAGTAGCTTGGACGCGGCTTAAGATGTCGGCTTATGGGCTTATAACATGCGCATAAATTGTAGCAATAAAAATACATATTTCTTATTTGTTTTACATCATTTATAGGTAAAATTATCTAGGGAAATATTATCTGATGTTATCGATCTTCACTTCCATGTCACTTTCACGCCATTCTTTTTTTAAATCGCACGGTATTTCGCTGTTTTCATTTTTTCATTATTTCAGAAATCCTGATGGTACATCTGTAACTGAAGAAGTGATACTAGATTCTTTAAAAATTGAAATTGATGATCACACTCCACTTAAGGACGAGTTTAAGTATGCTTTTCTTTAAATGCATTTATGCTAATATAACGATAATAATGTAATTTATTAATTCCAGAAATACTGAATGTCTTATTGCGACTAATCAAATAAAATCAGAAGATCTTTTAAAATTAGAACCTGATGATGTCGCTCCGATTCAGCATAAAGGCTTGCAGGATGACTTCAAGTATGTTTTTTTAAATGTATTTATACTAATATAACGATAATAATGTAATTTATTAATTCCAGAAATACTGAATGTCTTATTGCAACTAATGAACTAAAATCAGAAGATCTTTTAAAGTTAGAACCTGATGATGTCGCTCCGATTCAGCATAAAGGCTTGCAGGATGACTTCAAGTATGTTTTTTTAAATGTATTTATACTAATATAACGATAATAATGTAATTTATTAATTCCAGAAATACTGAATGTCTTATTGCGACTAATCAGATAAATTCAGAAGATCTTTTAAAATTAGAACCTGATGATGTCGCCCCGATTCAGCATAAAGATTTGCACGATGACTTTAAGTATGTTAGTAGCAGATTAGTATTTAAAAATTGTACCCTTAAGGAGGCCCTAGACGGTCAATCGTTTGATAAAATGATTGAGTCAATCGATTGAATCAATCATTGACAGTGACTTCAATCTACCATGAATTTTTGGATCAAAACACATTCCCAACAGAGTTTTCGCAGCTACTTCTAAAACCATTAAATCAAATGATATAGCGCACATTAACGTCCTGGCCGTCCGTTGGTCGTTGCGACCAGAAGACGGCACGGAAATATTATTATTTTCTGCCGCTTGTTGCCGGTTTTCTTCCAAATTAATAATTTTTCAGATAAAATCCCTCAAACTCAAGGCACAATATTTTATTTTCTATAAGATATAGTGTTTTAGTGTAGTTTTTGCACACGTGCAGAAAATCCAAAGAAATAGTATACAGACTGGATCAAAGGTAAACTTAAATCTAATCCCTTTTTTTTATCAAGGGTCGATTCTAGTAAAAACTCAAAACATTTTTATATGACATACCTACTCTATTTATGGTTGGTATGATACCTATTATTATACCTTTGAGTTTCGATGTTTAAAAAATATAAAAAATAATATTTAAAGTTTTTCTACAACTCTACAACCACTTGTTTTTTTTATTAAATTAGTTTTTTTAGTTGTATTGTAGTCATGTACAAGGAGGACAACTGTATTTTAAATATGATATTTAATTTAACGTTTTTCAAACAGGGTTCATTAGGCTATATTTCTACTAGGTACATTATTTTGAAAAAAAATTAAGAAAGTAACTTAAACATTCATAAAAATAGAAGTAATTACTGTTGTAGATTCTTCGTTATATTGTAAACATTGAAATAACTGGAAGCTAAACTTTCTACCTGCTTATATTTAGAGCCAGTGTCTGACGATCTTTTTTTACGATGGCCCTAATATGTTTACTTCTAAAGTCGATAGGGGCGCCATATCAGTAGAAAAAAGAAACAGAATATCTCCCTTTTTGTCGGTCGCGCGTACACAATGCTTTTTGTTTGTTGTGAATAGCAACTTCGCTTTTTAGTTAACTCGGATATTTTAACATTTCTGAAACAATATTTTCTAATTGGTAAAAAGTAAAAAATCGTTAGATTTGACAACTCTGTTGAAACTGGTCGTTCATCTGGCCGCAGCTAAAAACGCAATACAACCGACCAGCCGACGGCCAGGTCGTTGCGACCTGGTCGTCAGTGAGTTCGAGCCCTTAAGGTACTGTTCTCGATGTGTTCCTGTTTTTGTAAAATCCCTGTTAAAATTAGTTCTCAAAGTATTAATTTTTTGTTTTAGTTTGTTAACAGTGTAGTCCCGTTTTAACGGTTGTAAAACTCCCACAATTTTTTCCAACGCCGCGCTTTTTTTATTTCTATTAAAGTAGTCCTTGCTTAACTTTCCACAGTTCTGGTGAATCTCGATACAAATTTATTAACAGGCTTGTAAACTCACGTTCCGAATTGGTTTCGGTGTTGTCGGCGCGCGAAGAGTCCCCCATGATTGCTGCCGGACGCCTGACTGACATGGAAAGATTGATCAAAACGCTCCTACACGGTCAAGCGCCCTCTTCAATCGTTGGCGTAAATCAAAGTTTTCATTAATGACCATCAATGATTGAGTCAATCGTCAAACGGGTTTCTAGAAGGTCAATCATGCTTCATTCAATCGATTGACGCAATCGTTTGATCAAAATTACTGACCGTTTAGGGCCTACTTTAGGGTAAAGACATTGAAGAAATCGCAGAAAAAGGTGGCTAGATGTAGATGTTCCATATGTAGTCGTAAAACGCCACATAATTTGACGCTTAACAAGCACAAGCAAATTCACTTGCCACCGGAAGAACGACAGTTGAAGGAATTGCAGAGAAAGGTCTATAGATGTTCCACATGTAGCTACCGAACGCCATATAAGTCCCATCTTAACACACACAAGAACATTCATTTGCCACCGGAAAAACGACAGTTGAAGGAATTGCGGAGAAAGGTCTATAGATGTTCCACATGTAGCTACCGAACGCCATATAAGTCCCATTTTAACACACACAAGAACGTTCATTTGCCACCGAAAGAACGACAGTTGGAGGAATTGCAGAAAAAGGTCTATAGATGTTGCACATGTAGCTATCAAACAACAAATAAGTCCAATTTTAACAGCCACAATAAAATTCACTTGGCACCTGAAGAACGACGGATGTTTGCTTGTCCGCATTGCGACAATACATATACAAGAAGACACCGCTTACGGTACCACCTTGAGAATCATCATATTGATTTGAGGTAAATCTATTTTTGTTTAAGAATTATTTCGTGGATATTATTGATTATAACCTCCCAGGTATATATTGCTTGTTATTTGTTGCTAGCATTATTTTTGCTTGTCAAGATTGTCACTAAAAGTCTCCGAATGATTGAAAGTCTAAGATGTCGGTTTATGGGCTTATAACATGCGCATAAATTGTAGCAATAAAAATACATCTTACTTATTTGTTTTATATCATTTATAGGTAAAATTATATAGGGAAATGTTATCTGATGTTATCGATCGTCACTTTCACGCCATTCTTTTTTTAGATCGCACGGTATTTCGCTGTTTCATTTTTTCATTATTTTAACAGCCACAAGAAAATTCACTTGGCACCTGAAGAACGACAGATGTTCGCTTGTCTGCATTGCGGCAAAACATATACAAGAAAACAACGCTTACGAGACCACCTTCAGAATCATCATATTGATTTGAGGTAAATCTATTTTTGTTTAAGAATTATTTCGTGGATATTATTGATTATAACCTCCCAGGTATATATTGCTTGTTATTTGTTGCTAGCATTATTTTTGCTTGTCAAGATTGTGACTAAAAGCCTCCGAATGATTGAAAGTCTTAAGATGTCGGCTTATGGGCTTATAACATGCGCATAAAGGATGATTCACAGTACACCGGACCGTGCCTGAGCCGGGCACGTTCCGTGAAGTAGACACCAAGCCACGTCCGATCCTTCTGTATATGCAACACCGAGTTGATAACGGGGTTCGTATTAGTTCCGAGTATATTAGGAAACACAGCCCCATAGACACACGAAGATTTAATACGAACAATGCCAAAGTTCTCGCAATTGGAATTGGTACCAATTGTTGTTGATGAATAAAGAACAACACCTGCTCAAAGGAAAAGATGAAGGATTGTCCAGTTTTACGCATACCCTGTCGTCAAATACTGCTGTAAGATTCACTAATACTTACTACAGACATGATAAAAAGTGTACTTTGTTTATATCATGACTGCAGATTGCAATCGGGGCACCAGGACATTTCTGGGACGGGGCACGGACGAGTTCCGGCGAAGCTCGGATCGTGCTCGGCCTGGCATGAATGTATATGTGTAAAGAACACTTGACAATGTTTGGCCGTGTCTTCACCGACGCACGGCTCGGACCCGTTACGGTGTAGCGTGAAGCATCCTTAAATTGTAGCAATAAAAATAAAAAAATAAATTAAATAAATGCCTTTATTGTCAAAAATCTTTTCAATTTGTAGACAAAGGTAAACTAAAAAAACAAGGTACACAAACAAACAAACAAAAGATAATACAAAACATTATACAAATAATATTGTCAGTGTTTATAAATGTTTACAATGTCAAAGAACAAGAAAATAAAAACAACATTCAAAAATATTTACTTAGTTTATAGTAAATATCAATGACCTCTAAATAAATTTATTTCGATGTCATTAGTAAATATAGCAATAGCAAACATTAGACCAGTGTTTACAAGATCAAATTCTATTTTCAAAATATAATTATTTTACAGCGTAGAAAGCTTTGTCTAGTAAATAAGAGTTCAATGCTTTGCGAAATGAAGAAAATGATGTTATAGATTTGATTTCAAATGGCAGGTGATTGTGCATTTTTTTCGAGTTGTATAATATTGAACTTTTAACTAACTCTGAGCGTGGGGTAGGTAGATAAAGATCTTGCTCCGCGTTCCTGAGTGGATAAGTGTGAGATGGCCGTTCTTGAGAAGCTGATACATGCTTACGTATTAGGCAAACGGATTCAAATATAAATAAGGAAGGAAGAGTTAATATTTTTAATTTTTAAAAAAGTCCTGGCAATGAGTTCTGCTGTTTAGTCCCAGTGAATATCGAACAGCTCTGTTCTGGAGCTTGAAAATGCGGTCATATTGAGTCGCACAACACGTACCCCAGAATGGAAGGGCATACCTGAGGTGCGACTCAAAAAGTGCATAATAAACAGTTCTAGCCGCTGACAAGTTAAGCTCCTTAGAAACAGGTCTTAATGCAAAACAGGCAGAGCTCAATTTTTTCGACAAAGCTTCGATATGTATGTCCCATTTCAGAGAATTGTCTACAACAAGCCCTAAGAATTTTACAGATTTTACGACGTCAGTGGTGGTGTTGTTAAGTACAAAAGGCTGCAGCGAGTTTTTATACGACAAAGCTTTAGTTTTAGAAATGTTGAGACTCAGGAGGTTCGAATCGCACCAAGATTTAATAGTGATTAAGTCATTTGGTATAATCTTATGAAGTGCCGTGAATACATCGTACTTATTTGTTTTACATCATTTATAGGTAAAATTATATAGAGAAATGTTATCTGATGTTATCGATCTTCACTTCCATAGATCGCACGGTGTTTCGCTGTTTCATTTTTTCATTATTTCAGAAATCCTGATCGTACATCTGTAACTGATGAAGGGATACTAGATTCTTTAAAAATTGAAATTGATGATCACACTCCGCTTAAAGATGAGTTTAAGTATGCTTTTCTTTAAATGCGTTTATACTTATATAACGATAATAATGTAATTTATTAATTCCAGAAATACTGAATGTCTTATTGCGACTAATCAAATAAAATCAGAAGATCTTTTAAAATTAGAACCTGATGATGTCTCTCCGATTCAGCATAAAGATTTGCACGATGACTGTAAGTATGTTTTTTAAATGTATTTTAACTAATGGGATACATATTGAGTTTTAAATTTTTTTTATTGTTTCCAGAAATGTCGAAAATTTATCTGTGGGTGTGAAGGTGAAGTTGGAGGATTTTTATAAAAATGGAACCTGACGATAACTCCCCGTTTGATGTGAGACGAAGACGCGTTTTGCAAGGAAGAAGAAAACATTCATAAAAAAATTGAAGATTTTTGAAGTTGTCAAATTGGACAAATGTAAAACAAAAAATGTAAAATTTTTTTGCGACAAAAATAAATATTATTCCTGTATCTAAAAGAAAATATATTATTTATTCTGCTGAAACAAGGTTTGAATTATAGGTTTATTAAATTTATCATCATTTTATAACGTATTTTTTTATTTTAATTTTAGCCTTACAAATATCTAGATTTAAAAATTAGTTTCAGAATTTTGTTAATATCTGGCAACCTTGGAAACACCTTAGTTCAAAATTTTCTAACTTTCCGTAATGGCGCTTTTTTTTGAAACCACAGATTTCAAGTAACATTCTTCTTCTTTTTAATACTTATGGCTCGACACAATGGGTAACCACAGATTTAACATAGATTTTCTCTTCTTTCCTCTTAGATGGCTTGAACAGAGATAGGTCAGTGCAATGACTAAAGAATATAAGGACATGTAACGCCCCTGTACGGGCTGTAGTAGAATTTGTGACGTTAGACGCCATTCGTTTGATGCCAAACAGTGAGTCATCATCCAGTCACCAGCGACAATTTTAGCGATTTTTAATAGTTTGTTGTGTGTAGTGAACTTTGTATAAACTTTGTTACAATGGTGAATTGTGTAGCTTTCAAGTGTAAAAGCCACAGCGACAAGAAAAGAGCCAGGAGTTACGCTTCCTAGGTAAATAAACAGTCCACCCAACTTTTTAGCGTTTTCTTATTGAATTCGATAATTATTCTTCAATTTCAATTAACATCTATATGTACTTGATATGTGCTATACGTCGATACTAGTTTTGTACCTTTTGTTAACATTTTAGTACGTTTTTTTCGTAATTAGTTAGGATGATACACCATAGGCGTAGTCAAAACAATTATCAAAAAATATAAATATTGCTTCAAACAGCTAGGTTAAGAAAAATATGTGCCACGGCACTGTTTGATGCCAGCGTCACAATTTGCTGTCGGGTGTTATTTGTCCTTGGATTCTTTAGTCATTGGGTCAGTCAGAGAATAGGTACATTAAAGAAATGCTAACTTCATGTTAAAAAATGGAAACAGACGCCACCTGGTGTCGCCTGGCAGTACTAGCTAAATTGAGGGGAATTGGAGGGGCGGGGCTTAAAAGAGGGGAAATTTTTAAAAAAATATTTTTTAAGTATCAATGACTTACCGTTTAAAGTTAATAAACTTTTTTTTTATTACTTTAATATAATTTAATGTATTAAAAAATATGTCTATTAACTTTACACAGCAAATCAATGATATTATTAAAGACTTATTATTTTCAGAGAAAATTCATAGTAAATAAATTACACATTAGTAAACAATATCATTTATTTTTTAGAGCTGCGATTTATATTACAATAATATTGAAATATATATATTTTTTTAACAATGAAAAAGAATATCCCGGAACCTGAAAAGAAAAGATGACTTTACTGACATAAATTAGTTCAAAATACATTTTGCAAATAACTAGTGAATTGGAAAGATAAACATACTATTAAAAAGACATTTTAGTAGTATGTTATCATCTATTTACTGATAATACATTACATAAGTATATAATAGGTAAATAACATGCATAAGGCACTATGATACCTGTATCTATCTATGAACTACCTGTATCATGATAACACACTAATATGACAAAAAATATATGCTAATTTAAATTCCTTTAATGATCTAATGAAACACTATCTAGCCTCAATGCATGCCATTCCAAAGGCAAAAAAAACTGTTATACCAAATAAATATAAGCTGAATAAAACATAAACCAAGCCAACGTGCATAAACAACCAAAAAATGCATCAAAAAATACTTTTATCAGATCATACCCTTGGATATATTATGTATTTTATATATCGCACATCCCGTTCAAAAGTTTACTAACTCAAAATAGAGAATATAGAGAACATTGTCAAGAGAAGTAAAAGAAAATTTAAGTTAAGGCAATATGCTCCTTTTTGGATATTAATGGCCAAATAATATAATGTTGATTTAATAAAATTTTACTGGCATCCTTCTGAGGTATAAATCAGATTAAAAGGACATTGTTTTTGTAATAATTGTTTGTTTTGTAAACATTTTTTGAAGACAATACAGTTTTGAACGGGCTGTGCGATATAAACAAGGATCTTACTATTATTTGAGGTTAGAAAGTATTTAAATAACATAAAACATAATCAAAATCATTTGTCATCATAAATTATAGAGGTACTTACGTGTTTTGATATTATTATCAGGAAATAATACGTTTAGTTAAACAGGTACGCTGCCAGGCAAGTTCTATCGGCGGGTCTTTGCAAAAGTTGAAATCTAAAAATACAAAAATACGTTTACATCTTAGTTGTATTTACGAATAAAGTATTTGTGTGTAATTTCCGACTTACCAGTTAACTGAATAATCGCATTAAATACATCCAAATGGTAATTTAATATTGTAAAAAAGCAAAATTGTTTTAAATCACTTGCCAGAACAGCCCGGCCAGCTTCTTTGTTGACAAAATGGCCGCGGTATCATGATTTAAGCAATGTGAGTGACAAAGAAAGGCAATGCCTGGCAGATGTTGCTTTCTTTGTCGTTGGTCCTGGCACGTTTAACCATAAAATAATAAATACAAGAAGAAGTGTCAAGTCAATGTTAAATTATGGAAACAGCGTGGCTGCCTGGGTAACTAATTTTCAGATATGGCGGCTGGGACATTTGACATGACATAGACACTTCATTGACATGACAATTTCAATTTTATGAAATTTATTTCCGTTTCCGGTTTTTTAATGGCGGGCTGTTCAGGAGGTTTAAATGAGGGTTAATATACTTTTTTACTTTTTCTAGTAGTAAATAATACAACAAAATTACTCAAAAATATTTATTTGGAATTTAGAACAATGTAAATATGCAAATAACACAATTAAAGATCTATAAACCCATAAACTACTGTATCAATATCAAAATATTTAAATAACATCAGAGATGCTGTGTTAAAGTGAATTAGTAAAGTAACAATGCACTGACTTACAGAAACTTGAAGATAAATAAATGTTTTCACAGCTTCATGGGCGTAAAACTAACTGGAAGCAGGAAAAAGACAACAGGAACCCACGCAAAACCTGGAATCAAAAAAAAATATGTAAAAAAAAACATAAATATAGGTACATAAGACTGTTATAAATTAAATCAAACAGGACTTGAATGAAAATAAAAAGAATAAAAAATATGATACCTATACATCTAATACCTCATTTGTATTTTAAAAATAATCTACATACATAGCATCATTGCTATGAAAATACATAATAGGTATCTATGTGATATGTAATTACGCATTTCTGTTCATCTTGTAGATAATTAATATAGGCTGTAGGCTAATAATAGTTCAATAATCATAATTTACCTTGTGTAACTTGCTTTCAATTGCTCAAAATCACCGATCAGTCTTTAAAGTAGAGATACGGAAAAATCCTTGGTAAAGAATATCCCAAGATCCTTGGATCTAAAGCTAAAAAAATATAAAAACAGTTAATTTATTATACCTATTTTTACATAAAATATGGCCCATACCTACTACACGCAGAAACGTCGATTTCATCATTTTCTTCATGTAATTAATATCATATATACTTTATTAAAGTGTTAACAAGGAACTTTATATCAAAAACATCTTTGTACTTATAAATTTCAGCCGAAATATCATAAACAAACTTCCATTCAAATCTAAAACGGCAAAATTAAAATGGCGCCCGACCTTGCCAGAGGCCTCGGGAGTTGACACATGGCTGACACACAGACAAAAGAAGAGGACGCCGACGTGCATAAAAATGTCCCGTAACTGAAATTGACAGAAATCATATAGAAATATTCAGATTTTTGTCTAGGACAGTCTAGAAGGCCATGCTTTCTGCCTGGGTATGACCGCGCCAGAACTGTTTCCAATTTTCCGGTTTACTGTCACCCCCCTGCGTTTAAATTTGACTGTTGCCTGTTTTCCCATACAAGTGACACCCCCGTGGGGTCAGTGTTTAGAAAAAAAATGACCAAAAAGAGAGAGCCGAAATTGTAATCTATGGTTAATTATTAGACAAAGACAATAAGAATAAACAAGTACAGCAATAGTAAATAAATCAAAAATAATAAAATAATATTCTAAAAATGTAAAAAAATAAACATTTTATGTTTCTCTATGATTTTGGTGTTGTAAATTGTATATACCAGAGAAAAGGTACATTATGCAATTACTAAATAGTTCCTATATTACTTATTACTTAGGTATGTACTGTGTTAATAAAAATAAATAAATTGGCGATATATTATTGCTCTGCATTAGGTTCTCTCCACGATTTTATTCCTATAATTTTCAATTCCTTATGGGCGATTTAAGTTTATATCTGAATTGGGTATACTCTGAACTGAAATTGGTTTATTCATTTGCCTCTCTACTGATATTTCCCTTTAGAAACTATGGATAATATAGATGAAGTAACAGTTTTAAAAATGTAAGTATGATCTGTAGAGGGGTGTGATCCTTCTATTACGTAGAAATTTTGATTCTTATGAATAATAGGTACATTAATATTAATGCCCAGTAGCTAAGTGCTAACTATTATTATATTTTGATATAAGCAGAGATATAAGGCTGTAATAATCTCCCAGCTATAATGTCAACATATCAATGATTATGTTGTAATTTTTATAAGAAAAACCTTTTGTTAGTGCCTTTTGTTAGTACAGTTGCTTGTGAATTACAGCAGGGATTTATGTGAGGTGATATGTTTGAAAAACCCTGTTTTATACAAGGAGTTGAGTTACAAGATGAATATTTAAAAATTGTACCATTAGGGCGAAGGAGTTGAAGGAATCGCAGAAAAAGATCTACAGATGTTCGACATGTAGCTATAAAACGCCACATAAGTCCAATTTTACTAAGCACGAGAAAATTCACTTGGCACAGGAAGAACGACAGTTGTTTGCTTGTCCTCACTGCGACAAAATATATACGAGAAAACATGGCTTACAATACCACCTTGTGAATAATCATATTGATTCCAGGTAAACTAATTTTTGTTTAAGGATTATTTTGTGGATATACAACTACTATAATCACTTCCCAGCTATAATGTTAACACAACATTTTTTTTATTAGTATAACAGCCACTGTCAATTATAACTGGTGTATAATATGTGAAATTATATGTTTGTAACTCATTGTTTGTAACTAAAGATATATAACTCAAGGTTATAAACATATACGTATAAAACAGTATGTATATGGTTATAAGTGATTCTGTTGTAAGGTTTGTAACAAAAGATATTTGTTAGTTAATCAGTTGTCTGTGAATTATAACAGGTGTATATATGTGGTATTATATGTTTGAAAAACCTTTGTACAGTTACGAGCCTCAGACTAATATTTAAAAATTGTACTCTCAGGGCAAAGACATTGAAGGAATCACAGAAAAAGGTCTATAGATGTTCCATGTGTAGCTATAAAACGCCACATAATTTCACTCTTAACAAGCACAAGAGAATTCACTTGCCACCGGAAGAACGACAATGGAAGGAATTGCAGAAAAAGACCTATAGATGTTGCACATGTAGCTATCAAACAACAAATAAGTCCAATTTTAACAACCACAAGAAAATTCACTTGGCACCTGAAGAACGACAGATGTTTGCTTGTCTGCATTGCGAAAAAACATATACAAGAAAACAACGCTTACAATCCCACCTTGAGAATAATCATATTGATTCGAGGTCGAGGTAAATTTATTTTTGTTTAAGAATTATTTCGTGGATATTATTGATTATAAACTCACACAGTACATATATATTGCTTGTTATTTATTGCTAGCATTATTTTTGCTTGTCAAGATTAAGTATATATGATCTAGGCTTATAACATGCGCATAAATTGTAGCAATAAAAATACATCTTTCTTATTTGCTTTACATCATTTATATGTAAAATTATATAGGGAAATGTTATCGATCGTCACTTCCAGGTCAATTTCACGCCATTCTTTTTTAGATCGCACGGTATTTTGCTGTTTAATTGTTTTATTATTTTCAGAAATGTTGATTGTACATCTATAACTCATGAAGTGATATTAGATTCTTTAAAAATTGAAATTGATGATAACACTCCACTTAAGCACGAGTTTAAGTATGTTTTTCTTCAAATGTATTTTTACTAATATAATGATAATATTCCAGAAATTCTCAATGTCTGTCTGTGAATGAGGTAAAACCTTTTTTAAAAGTAGAACCTGATGATGTTGCTCCAATTTTGCATAAAAATTTGCAGGATGACTTTAAGTATGTTTCTTTTAAATGTATTTTTACTAATGTGATACATATTGCGTTTTAATTTTTTTTATTGTTTCCAGAAATGCCGAAAATTTATCTGTCGCTAAAAAGGTAAAGTTGGAAGATTTTATAAAAATGGAACCTGACGATGACTCCGTTTCTTGATGAAGACGCGTTTTTCAACGAAGAAGAGAATATTCATAATCTTAAAATTTTTGTTTCAAAAATCATGAAATAACTACTTGGTTACTTTTAAACCGCCATAACTCTTTAGTGTGTTCTGTGGCCATAACTTTCATAAGTTTATGTTGATCACAAAACATCCCCCTTTAGAACTTCATCTGTCATGTTAAGAAATGAAAGTAAATAATAAAGCGCCTCTCGTGTTTGTTCGCACTCAAAAAATTTCAATTAATGTCTGTATATACAGGGTGTTTTAAAACAAATGCGAAAAACTTCAGGGGGTGATTCCTTGTTCAAAATAAAGGGTAGTTTGCTTCATAAACGTTGGGTCAAAAGTCAACCATTAGGGAGATATCGCGGTACAAAGATGGCGGAAAAATAATGTTTTTATTTTTCGAAAGAATAAACGAAAAGAGACAGACTAATAAAGTTTTATGGAAGCATTACTGTTATGAAAATACCCTTTCTGGTAATTTTTTCACTTTTTTAAAATGAGCGGAAGGGGTTGAAATAAACTACCCCTATCATTCTTGTTAACGAAATTTAAAGAAAAATCTTATCAAACACATGCAAAAATTAGTTTGGATAGTTTAGTTTGTTTAGAAACTTTTTTATCTCTTGTATTTTTTTGATAAAACTCACCGATTTGAAATTAAAAAATAAAATGTAAAGCATTACATGTCAGGACAAAAAACATTTTCTGATAAAGAATCTAGTGGGCTGCTGTAATTTTTTTAGGAAAAAATCTAGTCGGCCGCTGTTACTTTTTAGGATGTTCCTAATATTATTTTATTTAACATTACTCTACTGCAATACGTTATTATCTAGATGATTATTATTATCGTTATTATCACTAGATTGTTAATCTAAAAATGTTCTTTGTCCTGACATGTAATGCTTTACATTTTATTTTTTAATTTCAAATCGGTGAGTTTTATCAAAAAAACACAAGAGATAAAAAAGTTTCTAAACAAACTAAACTATCCAAATTAAAGCATTTGCATGTGTTTGATAAGATTTTTCTTTAAATTTCGTTAACAAGAATGATAGGTAGTTTATTTCAACCCCTTCCACTCATTTAAAAGTAAAAAATTACCTGAAGTGTGTTTTCATAACAGTAATGCTTTCATAAAATTTCATTAGTCTATCTCTTTTCGTTTTCAAGATAAAAAATAAAAACATTATTTTTCCGCCATTTTTGTACCGCGATATCTCCCTAATGGTTGACTTTTGATCCAACGTTTATAAAGCAAACTACCCTTAATTTTGAACAAGGAATCACCCCCTAAAGTTTTTCGCATTTGTTTTGAAACACCCTGTATATTTAATATATTTTTTAAATTTACATTTTTTTAATTGTTAAGTAATATAAGATTTAAATGGAATATATTACATAACAATTATGTCAATTACAGGATTACAAGTTTGTTTTCTAACATTTTTTAAATAAAACGAATTATAAAATTTCAATATATTATGTATATTTGTCGTAGGTATGAAAAAAGTAAAATATAAAATGGACAAATGCTTACTTACATTGCAATAAAACTTCCACTTTTAGTTTTACAATCCAAACGCAATATTTCTATTTCACAAATAAAAATATCCGACAACACTAAAATCACTGAAACTTCCGCGGCTGACAACGAAAACTGAAAAATATAACGGCACTTTTTGTTTTGGACCTGCATATCAACATTACGCTGTACTATTATGTGTTTGTTGTTGAAATAATATAAAATATCTAATTATAACTTGTAAATTTTAATATTTTAACATGATTTTAACTACTTTTGACAATAACTAACTTTTTGTTATCAAGATGACATTTTAGACGGCAACTGACATATATGTCATAATATTTGAATCTTAAATATGTATGTAATATAATTTAAATTACTATAATGCAACTTTATACTAAGAAAACATTTATACATTCACAAAATACAACAAAGTCTAATAATATAGTTTGAAAACAATGAATATTGAATTAAAATTAAAAAAAGTTAAGCGCGACCCCTTGTGTCAAAATTAGATGATTAAATTTTTGCAATTTTTACACCATTTGATGACCTGTGGCGCCTCTAGTGTTTGTTCGGGCGGTTGGTCTTTTACTTCCGCTTATGGCTATTAAAGAAAAAGTTCTAAAGAGGGATGTTTTGTGATGTTGATTAACCAGTTAGCAACCCATCAGAGCAAACTCTTTGCCTTCAATTTTGTCGAAAACCATCACTCTGGGCGATGTGCAGATGTGCGCAGAGTACTTTTTTATATGAAAAAGTATGTAGTTTTCAAAAAATGAACCAACTTTGCAAAAAAAATAACCTCAAAAAAGTGATTCACGAAACAACCCCCTACCCTTGCAAAAACTACCCCTTCCGCTTTTCCAAATAATTTTTCAGTATCACCATTTGATTTAGGGTCAAAATTTATGGCAGAGGATTTTTTTTCCAAATTTTATCTCGTTTTTTAAGCCTACAATTTCAAAACAACCGTTTTTTAAATTCACTCTTTCAGTGCCCCTAACCAAAGATGCTATAGAGATAAGGATAGTGCGATTCCTATCTTCCTGCACTGTCAGTTTTTTTACGTCATCTACTGACCGAGTTGAAGTTGGCGCTAAATATTATAGTAGACAGTGATAGTTATTTTTGCATTTGACGGACGAGCGCACAGTGCGTTGGAAGATAAATTTAGCGGGGCAAAAGCGTTTGGTTACTAATAAGCCAAAAAATGTGTACTGATAAGAATAAATAGTAGACATTCCAATTGATACAAAAATGCATTAATATTCTTTGTATTTTGATACATTTTTATCAACCAAATTTGGTCGTTTTCTGCTCAGCAAGGCAGAGATCATACGAAAACAAAATATTTACAAGTGCTTATACATTTTATTAGAAAGCCAAATTATGTTGAAGATTGCCAAAGGTATGTACTTTTCTACTGTACGTATATTATTTGTTAAAATCCTTCGTGCCTTTGTTCTGCAGATATCAAACTTTCACTTTTTTTCAAATATCGATATATTGAATGATGTAGATCTTTTGAGTTACCAATAGTTACCAACATAGATAGTCACAGTCACAGGGAGTTCAAGCTTAACAGGTGAATGCCTAAAAAGATTCATTTCAATCGGATAGTATAAAAACAAAACAACTCCATCAAAAGGCACTGAGTTTAAAAAATTGTCTTAGATACTTACAAATATCTATCTTATTTATTATTTTCAAAATAAAATATATTTTTTTTAAAATAAATTATAGAGGGTGTCACAAGATTACAAATTAATTAAAAAAAAACTGCTAAAGAGTTTTTTGATATCATAATATAGTATTTGGCAATAGTTTACAATACGGTTTTTGTGTGTCATGTACGAATAATATCATAGTTTTATTATCTTGTATTTATTTATTAATAAATTAAGTTGTTGATAAATAAATAAATTTAACCATATAGTTGCTATATATTAGACCATTTGCTACGTTCTTAGATTTTAAGTCCCAAACATTGCTCTTGAGATTTTGTCCCGCTAGAATAACCATCCGCCGCACTGTGGAGCGCTGGTCAGCGCGTGACGTAGCATTCCACGGTGACAACGACAGCGGCGATTTGACGCGATCGAATAGTCCTTTACAATATATACAGGCTTGGCAACATATATACAGGCTTGGCAACATATATACAGGCTTCCTTTACAATATATATATATATATATATATATACTTTTTTTTACTGGAATATAAAAAAAAACAGCAGGAGAATAACCAGTCGTTTAAAATTTAGCTTTTAAGATGTAAATTGTAGGCTTTGTATCAGTTTCTTATATTTTTTCTTCTTACTTCTTGTAGAATTTCGATTGTAGAAGCCATTTTAGATTTGCATGTAATTGTTTTTCAAAGTAAAATACTATTTTTTCTGTTTTGTAAATGAGCTAAATTCTACTGTAATAGTTTGCTTAAATGTTTTTTAAAAGTATCTTTAGCATTTTGATTGGACTGGAGAATATTTTATTTGAATAAAACTTATATTATTTTCTCTACAGTATAAAGAGTTTGTAAAGAAAGAAAGAAATTGGAAAAAAATTAATCATTTACAAGGATCTAAAGAAAATGAAATGCCGATTTAATGAGATACCTATTCTCTAACAAATTATTTATTAAAATTCTGGCGATGGTGCTAGGAGAATGAGATGAGACGTTTTCCGTTTCACTATATAGAACAATTATTTCATTCAAAACCTGTTCAAATTTCCACTGGATTAGGTACTTTCTCATCTAAGAAGGTAAAAGAAAATTAAATATTAATGAATTTCGCTTGAATTTTGTCTTGAGAGGAAATAAATTGTTTTTGAGCTCGTATTTAAGCGTATGTCCTCTATTTATTTGAAAGAATAAGTATACTTTTCTGTAAATTTCGAAAATATTTATGTAATAAAATTAAAAACTCTATTTGTACAAATTTGTATTCATATTATTTCAGACACTTAAATCACTTTCACAACTATAAAATAATTGTACGCCCAGATCTGTGTACATATTCAGAAAATACATATTATTTTCTATATAATTAGTGAATTTCAGATTTTTTTGACCACTGTCTATATATACCGGGTGCGTCTTAAAAGATATATAATATAACTTTTTTATTTATTCAGTTTAAAAAACGAGATTTGGTATCTTAGTATACGACATAAATTAGGATTGATTGACGTATTCAATTCAATTGTTTTTGGTCACTTCCTGTTTCACCGGAAATGACTACAACTTTTGATTTTTAAGTGGCACCCTCGGATTATTTTTACTTTATTCGATAACACTCTGAATAGAATGACATATCATATGTCAATTTTTGGTATTTTCGCATATGGTTTGCGGTTCATAACGACAAATTATTCGTAAAAAATGACAGCTAGGACAAGGCACGAAAAACATTAGATTATCAAATTTATTTTTCCAAGGCTCCTTGATTAAAAATTAGTGTTTTTAACATTGCCATGGCACTCTAGATTGAAATTTAAAATACGTTTTTTTTCAAGCGAATATGTCAAAAGTTGACATATGATATGTCATTCTATTCAGAGTGCCATTTTCTATCGAATAAAGTAAAAATATGCCGAAGGTACCATTTAAAAATCAAAAGTTGTAGTCATTTCCGGTGAAACAGGAAGTGACCAAAAACAATTGAATACGTCAATCAATCCTAATTTATGTCATATACTAACATACCAAATCTCGTTTTTTATCTAAAAAAAAATTAAAAAGTTATAGGGGTGAGTCACGTTTGAGACACACCCGGTATACTCTCCATATACAACGTACATATAAAATGACAGCAATTTTCATTTCAAAGCCATCTCTGACGTCGTTTCTTTCTATCGTGTAGTTATTTTTATTTGAGAGAACTCTTTTTTGTAATTAATTCTTAGAGAATTTCTGCTTTATTTATTAAGTATACTGGGTACTAAGAAATACCAGCATTATGTTTAAGTTTATATGAAATTTATTGAAATATAATGAAATATATGGGTGTATTATGCACGTAATATTGCACGCCATTATGCCAAACTATTTTAACAATAGAGGAGTGTTTTAGATGTTATATGAGGGTACACGCACTTAAGTTAATTATAGAGGTATATTTGGAAATAATACAAATTTCTAAACAACAAACTATATTTATTATCAATAAAGTCAAAAAACATTTTCGTATTATCTTAACAAAACCGGTATAAACATCTTTATTTTATACTCTAACAATATCTGGATAACTCAATAAAAAAGTACACCTAGGTATATTATAACTATATATATAAAGAAAAAATCAGTACTTATAATTTTTTTATAAACATCTTTTTATTACACTGAGGCCAAATAGATAAAAGAAAAACATTTTCCTAAAGGTACGTCCATAGTGCACCGTACTGTGAACAAAAGAACAAAAAAAGTTGTAATTTTCAAAATATATAGATGTACAGGGCGGCTCAAATTTTACGCTTTTAAAGGGAGACACCATTTTCTGTAGGAGATAGACGAAAAGTAATATCGGTGTCTGGAGCTCAATTTTTATCAAAAACATGATGGTGAAAACTGCACATCAATATCTGTTATGTGCATTTTTAACAAATTGCTGTAACTTTTTTGCTATGGAAAATTTCGTATTTCTATGAAAACACTTCCAAAGCCTCTTTTTACGTAGAATTTAATGGTTTAAGTATAATTTTTTAAAATTAATAATTTAAGAGTTATCAACAGAAAAATTGATTTTTTATTTGGGACACCCTCTATATTTTTAATAAACTGAAAAGAATTCAAAATTACCTTTCCAAAAATATAGCACACTTGATATTTTGTTATAATCCCCTTCGAAATACAGAATTTTTAAAAGTTCGCCACTTTTAACTAGTAGGCTTTGGACCCCTTATTGATGTTAATGGAACTCGAAAACATATTTTCCAGCAAGACGACGCTGCGCCTCTGAAGTTATCAGCAAATTTTTGCAGCCAATTTCAAGAATAATTGAATAGTTAACCAAGATCCCAGCCGTTGGCCGTCGAGGCCGCCTGACTTAGTACCCATGGATCTAATCTTATGGATATATTTGCTGAAGAATAAAGGATCCTTATTCTTCCGTATAATCCTTGTATAATCTAGACAAGAATTAGAAATACTTAGCAGTTATGAGAGGGTATCTTTCACCCCCACTGAGTTAATCAATTCCGCGTGAAATGTTCAAAAACTGCCCCGTCTGTCCATAACAGAAGACGGTTGATATGTCGAACACCTGTAGCAAAATCTCATATCTTGGTTTGCTATTTATTTTTATTGTTATTAGATATAGTCTAAATGTGTTGATGTTGCTTAAATATATTTTAAATTGTTATAAAATTCTGCATCTCTCATAGCAAATATTATTTTCCTTTTAATTGATGCTGACAGCTAGAAGAACTCTATATCTCGAAGAAGAATCGAGTAAAATATCAAGTATTCTACATTTTTTGAAAGGTAATTTTAAATTATTTTCAACGAATTAAAACTATACAGGGTATCTCATATAAAAAATCGAATTTTCTGTTGATAATTTTTAAATTATTAATGTTGGCGGGAAGCCGGTGTACTATGGACGCACCCTAAATACATTTTTACATAAATTTTTCTTTTTTTTTTTGGTTCTTTAACGTTAACCACTTAATTATGCGTATTTTTTTAAACTACACACTTTTAAATCTATAAAAATAAATTCAAGCAAATAAAAAAAATTCTGATATACCCAATAGAGTATGTATTACCAAAGTGATCAGAATTTTTGGTTTGTTAGGATTTTTTTCTCAAAAAAAAACGAGGGCTCAGTAGAATTTCTTTGTGAAAAATCCTTGGAAAAGAACTTGAATCTGAGCACAGCAATTATTTCCTTTGCAAATATACAGAGTATTACTAAATTTATTCATTAAGTACATTAATATTTACAAACATTTTTTCTGTACTATATTTTTTGTCTTCCTCAAACACATTTTTTTTTTCAGTCTTAAATAAAAAACGGGATTGAATCCATAGATTTGTTGCTGACGGATTTTTTTCGATAAAAAACTTGGGCCAAGTAATATAAAATGAAATTTGTGAGCACTGATAGCTGGATACTCATATTCTGAATATTTTGGCCCAATCAAGACAATATTTCCAACAACCAAGTAATTTAAATCAACTATACAAGACATTTTCACTTTGATAATGGTATAAAAATACTCGAAACATCGAAAAAATAATTAATACTGCCATTTTGTTATAAATATATTTTTTTTATTTGAGTTTTTTATTGATTGTTGAAAATATGCTGTAATTTTTTTTTAATTTTATTACTGAGTCACATATAGAACACGATATATTTTAGCTTCTAAAATACTTATAAAAACGATTATATCTATAAAAAATAGGAATAAATAAAATAAAATTGTGAGCTGATTAGGAAATAAATATTTATACAGGGTGTGAAAGAAATAGTGTGATAAACCTTAATCAACTCAAGGCTTAGCCCGAACCTCTCGTGTTAAGCCACACTCAAATTCTAAACACACATGCTTTGATTAAGGCTTGCAGAGCTTCAGCATTTCCCATAAAATAGCGAGCAATTTGATATAAAACCATATAAATTATATATCACTGTAATCACATAACTTGAATCTATTTCCGTATGGTATCGGAATTTTAAATAATGTCTTTATTTTCGAGAAAAATTAGTCCAAACCTAAGGAATATTTTGTTGTTTGACCATCAAAATCTTAGAAATAAAGCAGTTGTCTAAAAATGTGCTACGATACAGACATAGTATAATCCTTTATCTTTAATTTCCTTCTTTATTTGTGTAAAAATACCTAGCCAGTTTTGCATTAAACGTTAAATGCCGAACTTAACTTATTTTGCAACTTTTTCGGACTTTTCGTGAAATTGACTCTTAACTGCTTCGAACTAAAGAAAGAGTATTTTTCTTAGGTAAAAAAGTCTTCTTTAAAAAAGTTTTCTTACGTAAAAAAGAAAAAAAACCGTTTACCAATGTTCTTAAACACAAACGAAATATATATCCTTCCTAGGAAGCTACTTTTGGTATATTTCCATATAAAAAAAAATGCGTAGAATCACCCACTAAAGTTTAGCACACTATTTCTTTACACCCTGTATAGTTTATGTTCAAAGATCAAAAGGCAAATTGGAGATGCGAGCTTTTACTTCACGAACAAAAGGAAAATAATTGTTTTTATGGCATAATAAAATGGGATTCATAAAATTAGAATAAAATCAAAGAAAACTTTAATTTTATGTCAAAAATAAAACCTTTTTGTTGGAAACTATTGTAATAAAAGTTGAAATGATAAAACTGCACTAAAAAATTAGATATTAATGATATTATTTGCTTTTTAAAACTTTTAAAGCTTTCTTACTGATCGAATCTGTATTATAACATTGATCTTTCGATCTTTGAGCACAATAATTAGGGTCTCCGTACAGGTTTTTGCAAACTGACATCAGAATTGGGATATGTCACATCGTAACTATTAAAATATTCAACAAAGTTAAGTTGTTTTTAAGGTAATATTTCACGTATGGAAACCCTAAGCACGATATTACTCACAAAGACATTAAAAGACATCACAGATTGAATTTATAAATAAAATTAACCACAAAAACGATTCCTCTAACTACTGGGAAGTCCCAGTAGTTGCCTGAACGCTCTTCTGAAGTCCAAATTAAAAATCGTATAGATGATAGGATTTAACACCGAGTTTACGTACCCCAGCCATGTTATGAAGTTGATGAACCTTCTGGAAGGGCAGCACGAAGGGCAGAAAGGTACTATAACGTACATGAGGAAAAACGGTAGCCAACAGACTACAAAAACACCCATTATGATACCGAGTGTCCTGGCTGCCCTTCGTTCTTTCGATAGGCTGATTCTCTGTCTCTCTTCGATGAACTGGTAGATGCCAGTTGTCTTTTTTGGCACTTCAATGACAACTACTTTGGAACCGGGACTTTTTGAATTGTTGCGTACAAGCGTCATGGCGGCGCATTGGTTGTTGGCTGATCTGCCAAGAGTTGAATGATCTTTGGAGGATGACTCGCCATTTTTTTGGGAATTTGAGGAGTTTTCTGTAAAACAAAAAAGGGAGTTTTTAATAGTTACTTAAAAAAACAGAAAGAATATATGATATTATATTATTTCTGGGTTAGTTATATTATTAGTTATAGGCTTTGTGCATTCTCTGACGGTGCTGCCACCATCAAAATCAGCACTAGCAAAAAACTAAAATATTTAAATATTATGACAAAACCACGATTTCAATATTATTTTATTGGAGCGCTGCGGTAGGAATTTGTTGAAATCAACTGAAATGCATCAAGCCTATAGAACGCAGCTCTATGTGTGCGCGACAGGCAGTAGTACAGGTTAAAAACTGCGTAAACTGACCTCTGCACAGTAAGCTTCTACTAAAGAACTGAGCGTCTGTAGATCCTTCTTGTTACTTACCTATATCAGTGACTGAATCTTCGTGTGTCAGTATAGGTTTCAGCTGCACCTTGTCCTCCATAGTTTCTTTGCTTTTCTTCTTCTTTTTCTCGTTGATTTTCGAATTGTTTCTGTCGCTGCGCGGATCGTTGTGATTGGTTTCGCTGCTCACGCTGTCCCTGTCCACATCCTCTTTGGCCTTGTTCTGGTTCCTGGAGATGGCGTTGATTTTGGAAGCTTGCGCCCTTTCGCGCAATCTTCTCCTAGTCGCTACGAAGATTTGAAAGTAAACGATGGTCATGATGGCTAGAGGGATGTAGAATGATCCAGAAGAAGAGTAGATGACATAACCCTGGAATAAAAGAGAGGAATTTAATTAGGAAAGGTCCAATATTTCTATCTATGTTCTATTTACCTCGTAGACTAGTAGTCTAATAGGCGATATTGATTTTGGTATAGGTCTTAATGCAAACCTAAAGAATGTATTAGAACGTATTTCAGGAAAATATTTTAACTTTTTTAATTAACCCTGTATATTTTTTTTTATTAGATGGACATTATCAAATGAACATTTTTTGTATGCAGATACACGCAGTATTATTTCATATGGCGCTTTCAACGGTAAAATACTAGAGAAAAATCATTGGGTGGCTTTGATAAAAATTTACTATGGAAAATGCCATATGAGATATAAAACCGCGATTATCTGCGAAACCGTTAACAATTTTTAAATACTCTAAATACAAAAAATGTTATTTTTTAATTCTCCATCTAATAAAAAAATAATATACAAGGTGTTCCATTTAAAAAAAAAAGAAAAATTATTTTATATTTTAGAAAGTTTGGCGTAGAATTTTGAACATCCTGTATGATTTAAGATTACGATATTCATAGCAAAGTAAGTATAGACCATCTAGAGTAAATACCTTATTTTGTGTTGATTTTAGAATAGTTCCTGTATTTGTAATAATTTTTTTAAGAAAGCCTGATTTTTTTTATTTATTTATTAATATTTTTAAAACCACCAAAACATATTTAACAATATTAGGATTATGTAAAGTCATCTGAAAGGAAGCCAAAAATGTAATAATATACAGGGTGTTCCATTTAAAAAAACCATCCCGATCCACTCACACTTTTTTGAGCCACCCTGTAGAATTTAAAATATTTTCCTGAAATACATCCTAGTACATACTTTAGGTTTGCACTCAAACAAAATATCTAACTTTTTTATTCCAGGAGCTACAGATGCCCCTGTATGTTTTTGATGGGATAATATTCCTTCCTCACCTGTCTAGAAGATAGTTTACACTCTTTCTTCTCCAAAAACACTTCTGTGTCAGGCCAGTCGTTCCACCCAACCAACGGAGGTGAAGATATCAATAAAGACAACAGCCAAACACCAGCAATCATAATCAACACTCTCTTAAGTGTCCTTTTCTGAGCATAGTTTATTGGATCTGTTATAGCCCAGAACCTGTCCAGAGCTATCGCGCACAAGTTCAGGATGCTCGCGGTGCAACACAGCACGTCCGAGGTCAACCACATCTTGCACAAATGGATCCCGAACACCCATTGTCCCACAACGGAGTACACGACGTTTATGGGAAGTACCAGAATTGCCACTGTCAAGTCCGCGACGGCTAGGGAGACGATGAAGAAGTTCTGAACGATCCTGAGCGGTTTGTAGGTGAAGACGCTGAGTATGACGAAGATGTTGCCTATGATGGTGAGCAGGATGATGAATCCGAGGGTTGTGATGGTGATGAGTGCCTCCCATTGGGGGATGTCGGTGATGCCGAAGATGGTGGTGTAGTTGCCGAAGTGCTGGGGCTCGCAGAACGCTGCGTGGATGTCGTCGTCAGAAACCATGGTTTCATTGTGAACGATGAAGATTGGAGTGTGCTGTTGAGTCTGGAACAATAGAAAAGTAACGATGAAAAAAAAATTAAAGTAATTTTTAGTGAAACTTTTTGACGCGCGATAGAAGTAAAAATACAAGGTCGTGACACACGACGATCCTGCCGCGATTTAACCTTGACCATGTCTTAACGCACGTGCTAGCGAGAAAATAATAACAAAAACCTTTGATTTAAAGCTAAGAAAAGCATTATAAGAAACATGATACTGTTACATGGGTACCAATATCCTCTGCCCAAGTAGCATTTTCACGACTTGCGACCACATGTTTACTAAACACAACGTTGGATTAGTTACAAAAAATAGTTAGCTCCCTACCTTGGGTATTAAAATAAATTTAAACGTTTTTATAACGTTGTGCGGACGTTGGACTAGTACTACAGCAAAGTAGAAGCTTCTGCGAAGTCGAATAAACGTTGTCTTGTAACATTTTTTGCTTAAGTGATCTTTAGGTGATTCGGACAACGTAGTTACAACGTTGGACAATACAGAGTTTTCCGACGTCAGTTTCAGGACCTATTCCAACGTTATGCAAACGTCGTCTGTTTTACTAATTCCAACGTTGTTTAGATTTCCTTATTCTTACGTTGGTAGGACGTCGAGTCACTACCGTTTTGCAACTGTATTGAACCATAACCTTGAATCTTAAATTTTCACTTCATTGTTCTGTTCAGTCAGACAGTTCAGTGCTGTTTTTGTTTTTATAAAAAAAATTTTAATTAAAATAGGACATAAGAAAGGTACATATAAAACTAAATTTTAATATACATCGACATATATTACCGATGTTTATCCACTCCCTCGTTTATTTAGATTATAGAGGGCGGCACAAGCTAGACTCTAGGATGACTAAATTAGGCAATCTTGCGACTAGTATACTACCTGTTAAGGCCGAACTGCGACTTTATTAGTCCAGTATGCGACTACTCGAACTACTCTATCTTAATCTCCAAAACAACAAAGTGAAAGCCGCCATGTTGTTAAATAAGAAAATATTTCGTTCCTAAAATAGCAATTCCTGCTTTTTGAATACATTAACTTGAAATATTTGGCACTAAAAAACACGCGGAAACAATTTTTTCGACTGCGAATAAATTATTCTCATTTTACTAAAAAAAAATTCAAGAAAATTTTTAAAACTTCTTTAATTTTAAGGCCCCTTAGTATTTTTCAAAGTAGAAACAATACATTTATCAATAAAGTTGTTTGCGTTAAACTTTTTTGCCTTGGGTAACGAGTTACAGAGTCGGTTAAAGTGTTTTAATAATTATGATCTTCAAACATCCTCCACACTTAAATACTTTTGTTTTGTTTTCCTTCACTGCCATCTGACATATGTCTCTAACTAAATCATAAAAATAATATTTTTACTATAATTATCGTAATTATTCCAATTTAGGATAAAACGCGACTTAGACGCCATATTAGTTTTGTATTTCTGTGAATTAGGATTTTAAACAACGTTGCAGTTTGTACTAAATTAGGCTTCTAGCCAACGTCGCGTCGGTATCCAACGTCGTTTCGACCCAAAAATTATTCTCCAAACTAGTGCAGACTAGGGTTGGCACGAGGTTGTGCCGACGTTGCGCCACGACGTTTGGTCGCGTGACACAACGTTGTCCCGACGTCCAAATGCTGCTTGGGTGGTTTTGCATATTTTCATCGATAGGTTTGTAGCTTCCAGTGGCGGCTCGTGGTCATTATTGTAGGGAGGTCAATATCTAAAAATATTGCGTCGATTTTTTTTAAGACGCGCCCTCGGACGCGCCCAAATTTAATTGGTCTCTTACAAGGTACTTGTAAGTTTAGTTAACGGAGTATAAATCTAAAAATAAATATAAATTCTGTTAAAATGAAACTAACTCTTACATTTTTAAACAGGTTATGAATAGGTTGTTTTATAATTTGAGTTTTTGTAAACACAAACTGCCCAAAGGGCGAAATTTTTCCAGCGGTATGACTGAAATGCTTTTATGAATGACGCGGTCAATGGCCAATATAAACTCTATCTATCGCACCTTAACTGTTTTTTTTTCGTAATTAATTAGGATGATACACCATAGGCGTAGTCAAAACAATTTTCAAAAAATATAAATATTGCTTCAAACAGCTAGGTTAAGAAAAATATGTGCCACGGCACTGTTTGGTGACATCGTCACAATTTGCTCTCGGGTGTTATTTGTCCTTGGATTCTTTAGTCATTGGAGGAAACAATTTTTCACTTTTTTTTTTAAATCAATATTAATACAAAAAAAAACAGGAAAAAATTTCAGCACAACATAACTTTTCGATAACAAAATTAATCGAGTATAAACTCGCAAATCTAATTTAGCACGGAACCAATCCCACTGGAAATTACTATATAATAAAACAAATCCGATTTACAGTCATAGCCTTGCGGAAAGCGAATTATTTTACACGACAAAACAACGAAAATCGCTCCGAACAAACAAACAAGTGCGCTCCAGCTAGCTAGCTAGAGAGCGGCAAACTTCTAAGTTTTCCACTTAGATTCAATTAGAATTTGGCGAATTAGCGAATTTCGTTTTTGCCGCCGAGCCCGAATACACATCGCAGGATTTAGATGTCGCATCTGTGTGGCATTAGAGCATGTCGCTCTAACTTTTAATTGCAACGCGGGCATACTTCGCCAACACTAACATAGAGCGACTCTATAAACTGGGAGATGACGGATTTTCTTCTGTTTTGTTCGCGTCTTTTCATATTAGGGATGGGCGAATTTTTTCATAATATCGATATTAAAATTATCGATATCGATATTGCTGGTATCGATATGAAAATATCGATATCTGGATTATTATTAATGCCAATATCGGTATTCATATGTCAATATCAAAATTATCGATATTGATGTTAAAATGATCAATATCGATATCAAAATATTTACAAAAATATCGATATATGCGATATTGATATCGATAGTAATAATACCTATATTAATATATAGGATTTAGATTCGCATCTGTGTGGCATTAGAGCATGTCACTCTAACTTTTAATTGCAACGCGGGCATACTTCGCCAACACTAACATAGAGCGACTCTATAAACAGGGAGATGACGGATTTTCTTCTGTTTTGTTTGCGTCCTTTCATATTAGGGATGGGCGAAATTCTTCATAATATTGATATTAAAATTATTGATATAGATATTGCTGGTATCGATATGAAAATGTCAATATCAAGATTATTATTAATGCCAATATCGGTATTCATATGTCAATGTCGATATCAATATTATCGATATTGATGTTAAAATTATCGATATCGATATCAAAATATTTACAAAAATATCGATATATGCGATATTGATATCGATATTATTATTATCGATATCGATAGTAATAATACCTATATTAATATATAGGATTTAGATTCGCATCTGTGTGGCATTAGAGCATGTCGCTCTAACATTTAATTGCAAGGCGGGCATACTTCGTATAACTCTAACATAGAGCGAGACTATAAACAGGGGATGACGGATTTTCTTCTGTTTTGTTCGCGTCTTTTCATGTTAGGGATGGGCAAAATTTTTATAGTATCAATATTAAAGTTGTCGATATCGATATTAACATTATCGATATCGATATTATTATTATTATTATTATTAATGTCGATATCGGTATTCATATATGTCCCTATCGATATCAAAATTATCGATATCGATATCAAAACATTCATGAAAATATCGATATCGATATTAAAATGTTTATGAAAATATCGATATCGGTATCAAAATATTTATGAAAAGATCGGTATCGATATTATTATTAACGATATCGATATTATTATTAATGTCGATATCGGTATTCATATGTCCATATCGATATCGGTATTCATATGTCCATATCGATATCAAAATTATAGATATCAAAATTATCGATATCAAAATTATCGATATCATAATCAAAATATTTATGAAAATATCGATATCGATATTATTATTATCGATATCGATACTAATAATACCTATATTGGTCTATAAAAATCAATAATCGTAATTTTTTATTTTTGCACAGAACTCTCGATAAATGTATCGATATCAAAATAATATGCAGATATCGATATCCAATTAGAAGCTCTAAGGAGAACGGTAGTTTATATCAAAATTAAATTTTGAAAGCATTTTATAAAAATATATAGAATTATGCAGGGTGTCCCCAAAAAAAGTTACACACCAAAGTTGTGTTTTTTCTATTGGAACACTTTATATTATATTAATTGATTTTCGGTAACAGCTACCTAAATTTTAGTTGAACTTGTATAGCCTGATATGTAATTACAGTAACCATTGTATCTTCAATCAAATTGAAATTTCACCCGAAAAGTTATACAGGGTGAGACAAAATTAATATGGAACATTAGTCACTTTTAAAAGCAAGTTTCCCCTTTATTTTAAATGGAACACCACACCATGAATATCGGAATAATGTACTGGGTGTTCCATTTAGAATAAAAGAGTATAACATGCTTTCACAGGTGACCAATGTTCAATATTAATTTTGTCTTACCCTGTATAACTTTTTGGATCAAGTTTTAATTTGATTTAAAGTACAATAGTTAATTTAACTACATATTAGGCTATACCGGGTAAATTCCGATTTAGATAGCTTTTATTGTAATTTAAAATTTGTTCTTTATTTCTAGAAAATGTTAAATATGTCAAAAACGTTACATTTTAGTCATATACTTCTCTTATAAAACTCACTTTTATTTTTCTCCCAGAATCCGAAAATCAATTAATATATAGGGTGTTCCATTACAAAAAACACAACTTTCATCTATAACTTGTTTTGGGGATACCCTGTAGAATTATATATATTTTTAAAAAGTGCTCTCAATTAACCTACGTATGCTCACAAAATTTCATTTCAATACAAACTGTCGTTCTCCTTGGAGCCTCCGCGGCGTATAAGAGGCGCCACCCTGTATATTTTCTTTTGAAGATATTTTTTCTATTTTGAAAAATTTAACAC